GAGAGCAGCGCCTTGCACATCTCGCGGCGCACGGCCGGGTGGATGATGCGGTTCAGCGCCGCTCGATCCCGCTTCTTGGCCTCCGTGTCGCCGAAGACGCGCCGGCCCAGCGCCGGTCGGTTCAGTGGCCTGCCCTTCGTGTCTGGCTTGTCATCGTCGGGGTTCTCTTCGTGAGGTTGTGCGGCGCGGGAGGAGGAGGTGAAGGAAGAGGGAGGAGCAGGTCCGGCGTGCTGGGCCCGAAATACGTGATGCGAGGAGGTCGGCGTCGATGAGCGGGAGGGAGTGCGGCGGAGAGGTGAGGATGGCGGAGACGGTGCTTTTGCCCGTTGCGATGGAGCCGGTCAGGCCGAGGAGGAGCATGTCTTGTGCCTGGCTCGCAGTTCAAGCGGTACGAGTGGATGGTCTGATGAGGGGCAGATTTTGTCTTGTTTCTTAGTGGTCGAAGCTCTGGATGGGAGAAGGATAAGCAAATAAGTAAGGTAATCTAGGGGAGGTGGTGCGGGGTTCTTATTTAATGGGGATGGATGATGGGGGGTTTCTGGTAGGAGGTACGGAGCACTCACTAGTGAGATGGCAGTTGTTGTTGGGACGAGATGATGGAGCTTGGTCAAAGGTACAGTATCTGTCTTCTGGACTTGCATGAGATGGATACCTGCTGCTCACGCTCAATCCTTACTTAAAGAAATAATATGTGAAGAAGAATGTTTACCAGATGGGGAAATATATTCTCTGCACCCTGGCATCAAGGAGAGAGCGCCCAGGCTGTGGAGGTGGCCGTGCAGTGTTGAGCATCGCTATGCTCGTCAGATTGCTACGGGTACTTGCGTCTCTCGATGCTCCTCCCGCATTAAAGCTTAGCCAGCTGCTTTGTCGTGATGATCGTGATGAGATGGATAAGTAGAGCCATCTCCCAGCCATCCAGAGATGAGCAACAGAGCACACTGCACTGCCAACTGGTTACGAGTCCAGAGCTGTACTCTCCTGACCTGCAAGATTGAAAGTAGATATTATGGCAGACCTGGAAGGGTATATTCGCTTCCCATGTCTGACTTCTTGATGTCGCGGCTGACTGGTTCTCAAGCGGTGCACCTGTCCCTCCTACACCCCGGCCAATCTCGGAGCCAGAGACAGCTCCAGCTTCTCCCTTAACCAGCCTCAACAACAGTGACCCTATCACCCTTCGGGTAGGGGAACGCAACTTCGTCACCGCTCTGGCAACCCTAACAGGCGAAAGCCAGTTCTTCTCTTCCATGTTCTCCGGCAACTGGCACAACACCAAACAGCCCGACGGTTCATATTTCATAGACGCAGATCCCGACCTCTTCGCCCACATCTTGCGCTATCTCCGGCATAACATGCTTCCCCTCTTCTATGCCAATGGCCACCACGATCTGGGGCTGTATGCAGCGTTGCTAGGCGAGGCCAAGTACTTCCAGATCCCAAGTTTGGTAAAGTGGCTAGAGCACGAGACGTATTTTCGGGCAGTCAAGGTACAAAGAGATGTAGATGAGGCTGAGAATGTTCTTGATCTCCGTGATCTTACCAAGTCGAACGAGGAGGTGGAATATCATCCGTTCCGGACGACGGAGAAGGTCTATGTTTGTCCAAGGGGTATCTCCCTGCACAGAGGAAGGCCGAATGCCTGTGGGAGATTGTGTCAACGAGCGAGAGGAGACGACCCGGAGGAGTATGAGGACGAGGACGTCTACAAGGCGCTGGTGATTCGGAAAACGGTGGTGTTTGATCACAGACTTTGTGCAGGGGACGAATGAGAATCTCTGATACTAATTCAGGGGAGCTTGGCTTGCGAATTGGCACTATGCCTCTGTCGTGGGAAGAGACATGGCGCGTATCTGGCTTCGGAAGTAGAAGTCGATTGCTGTCCGCACCTGTATCGTTACCGGAATTGGTCTTTTGCGCTTTGAATGCTTTGATCAATCCCCCGGTTCGTCCTTGATGATAATACACTCGTCATCACTCTTTTCCTTCTTCACCCTGCCCACCTCATCGAACTCCTGCTCGGCCAACTTCCTCCCATTCCTCCCTGTAACCTCAACTGCCTCCACTATCGTCTCAATCCCGGCGGGTACATCCTCATCATCCGGGCCCCAAGGTAGCGCATCAACATCAACTTCCATCTCCAGTAAGGTCTTCAAGATCACCTCCGCTCCAGCTTTGCTCATCACGCGATTCGCCTCCCTACACCTCTCATCGCACACACACTCCACACACCCTTGCAAACAGTGACAGGCCCCCACCCTCTCCACCGCCCTCACAAGCAATAGATCAATGAACTCAAACGCCTTCGCCGCGATCCCAGACCCTCCCGCCCCGCCCTTGGCATCATAAAACGTAAGTCGAGCTGGCCTCTTCCGCTGTGTCTCCTTCTTCGCAAACTCCTTGATCGCATTCTTACACTCCGTTCTCACATCACCAGGCATGCTGATCACAAATTGCGGCATCAAGCTCAAGATAGCATGTTCCGCGGCATGAATGCCAGCCGCAAGATTCAACCGTCTCGATTTCAAGATCTCCAGCGCAGATCGCGGAATATCAAGCCACATGCCCTTGGAGAAGATGTCGATGGGCGGATTATCCACGGCAACGGCATCCAGGATCCGCCGCTTTTGGTCGAGTTTGAAGAAGCCGAAGACTACGGCGTGGACTTTGATGCGACCGAAATAGGCGCGCGACATACTTCCTTTGCTGACGCGGCGGATGGCCTCGGTTTCAATAGGGTCGATGTCTGTGTAGTCACGTTGTTGTGTGGTCCAGTCTACCTTGACGAGTGTGACTTTGGCGATGCGTGAATCGGGACTGAACTCCTTGACGAGGTAGGTACGGCCTTGGTGGAGGAAGATACCGCCTTCGTAGATGGTGAAGAAGGCTCGGGAGGGCTCGACTTCCTCGAGGACGACATTGCGGCCGTGAGTGATGTCGACAACTGCGAAGTGGCCGTCTTCGGTATCGCGTATGCTGACGTGTTTGCTTGGTAGGGGCCGAAAGCGCTCGTGGCAGTGATAGAAGTCGTCGATGCTTGGATCATGGAGCAGGCGGGTCTCTGCGACTTCCGGAAGGAGCTTGCCGAAGTACTTCGCGTCTTCTGCAGCACGGATGGGCATTTCGTAAGCTGCGCATTGGACGTGGCCTTCAAGTACCAGCTCGTTGGTGAGGTCAACTTGAAGTTCGCAGTTAGGTTTGGTGAAGATCTCATCTGGGTTCTGCATGTAATATTGGTCTGTGGCGAAGCAATCACCGACAAGAACCGAGAGCGAGTCTTTGTTTCGGCGGCCAGCGCGGCCGGACTGTTGGCGAAGGTTGGCAATCGTGTAAGGGAAGCCCATGGTGATGACGGCGTCCAGAGAGCCAATATCAACGCCGAGCTCAAGGGCGGTAGTGGCGATGATGCCCATGAGCTTGCCGCCAAACATTTCGGACTCGATCCTGCGGCGGTCCTGAGCTGAGTAGCCACCGCGGTAACCCATGACAAGTGCTGTACATTCCGATCGTTCGAGAGCATTGAACTCGGCTTTGACGGCCCCGAGAAGCACTTCCGCTTGTTTGCGAATACGAACGAAACATATCGTTCGCACACCACGGAGGATGAGCTGGCAGAAGAGGCGAGCTGTCTCTGCAAAAGTGTCGCCTCGGCCGGAGGATGGATCGTTCGGGTCTTTGTAGGGCGTGTTCCAGCAAATGAATTCCTTACGTCCAGATGGTGAGCCATCGAAATCAGTGAGCCGGACTTTGTCCACACCAAAGATTGTCTTCATATGTTCCTCGGGGTTGGCGACCGTGGCAGAGCATGATATGAATTTGACCCTGCGGTTGCCCACCGCTGCGCATATTCTGCGGAGTCGACGCATGATGAAGGCTACGTGGGCACCAAAGAGGCCATTATAGACATGTAGCTCGTCCACCACCACGAACTTCAGGTTCTTCAAGAACGTCCTCCAGTTATTCTCTTGTGGGAGGATGGTAATGTGGAGCATGTCTGGGTTGGTGAAGATAATCCTCGCGTTCTCACGGATCTCATGTCTGGCCGGCATGGGCGTGTCACCGTCAAACGTTTCCACAAGGACCTGTTCGAATCCAGGGATGAAACTTAGCATTTCCTTCATGCTGCGACGTTGATCCTGCGCAAGCGCCTTGGTGGGGAAAATGTACATACCACGGCTTTCAGGATCCTTTTCAAGCTCATGAAGCATCGGTATCTGATAGATCAGAGACTTGCCAGAGCTAGTAGATGTAGAGACAATGACATTGTGCCCCTCATGTAGGTTGTTAATCGCCTCCGCTTGGTGCGAATAGAGCTGAGTTATGTTCCGAGTGTTATAAAGAGCATTAACAAGATTCTGAGACAACGCAAAGTTGAGCTCAGCATAAATGGGTGGCTGAGGGTCAAACACGCGATGGCCGTCAGGGACGATTTGGTGCGTGTACCATTCCATCTCAGTAATCTCTTTCACAATCTCGGGAATGCTTTTCCTTTCGGTAGGGATCTTTTTCGGCGGGTTACCATGCCGGTTAGGTCCCGGAGTGTTACTTCTCCTCTGGGTCGGTATGGGTATGTAATTGCCCGCTTCGGTCTGGAGGTTGATGACTGGGTCGATGGCTGCAGCAGCACTAGAGTTCAAGAAAGCATTGATGGCAGATGTGAACTTTGTATTGCGCTTCTCTATCAATTTGAGCATCTGCTTCTGACTATACACTGGCAGCTTTAAATCTTCGCGACGGAGATGTTGAAAGGCGTTGACGGGTTGTCCGGTCTTCGGATCAGCGACTTGCCTCTTCAGATCCCCATCAATGAATTCGAACAGCAGCAATTCTTTGATTTCGCCCTTGTCTTTCTCTTTCGGTCCACTCTCGTCCTCAGCCAAAGATCTGAAGTGCTCCGCCCTGCCACCTCTTACCCCATCCTCCTCGCCCATAATTGTAACTTGCAGCATGTCTTCATTCACATAAGCAAAGTTGATCGCCTTGGGAACGATAGCCTTGACCTGAGCCACGTCTTCAATGAGCAATGGTCGCTTGATATGAGCCTCTACGGCAGACTTGATATTCTCAAAGGTCGTTGCAAAATGCTTTCGAGTAGAACAAAAGGTGTAAACTAAGTTCAACGCCCGATGCAGTTGCGAAAGCTGCTTGAAATGCTCAGGCCACGGTATGGTTGTCTCGACAAGCTTTGTGGACGAGTTATGCCGGAGCATCGGCGGCTTATTGGTTGTGGCTTTCGTTCTGCGAGGCTTCTTGCCACCATCTTGACTCTTAGTTGGGATCGAGGTTGTGGTGGCAGGTCCATTATCGACATTTTCTACTTGAGGCTCATCCCTCGCAGGTGAGGCAAGTTTTCGCTTGCGTTTTCGAGGAACTTTTTGATTAGACACAGTGGCCGCCTGGAGCCCGGCCATCGTTCAGCGAGCGTCCTTCTGTCTGCTGAAGTGGCGGAACAGTGTATCGATAGCGGGCTGGAGGTTGTGATACATGATATTACATGGTGGCGTCCAGGGAAACAGACCGCGATCTACTTTACACGGAGTCACGTGCTTTGCGCTCCGCCTTAACTACTGGCCTTGGCAAATGAATGCGAGTTAACAGGATACCAGTGCTTCATTTACGCTTATAAGATAAGACCATAGCATTCGTTCCCTACATTGAGGAGAATAAAGCAGAAATTCGTCCACTGGACATGCATAGAACGGTACTTATCATCGGTTGCTTTCCTCGCGGCATTGGTCATTCTCTGGTAGAAGTCTGCCATCCACCTGGTCTCTGTGTCTTCGCAGCTGCCGGAACTCTGTCCTCACTCTCCCTTCAGACATCCAGATACTTTCTGTGCCTGTTTCTAAACGCTCGTGACAGTCCCTGAACCCTAAACTGAAGAAGGCAGTCAATCCTGCTTCGAGCAGGTGACAGCTCTCCCCAGCGGCCGTGACCTTGATTTCCTGGTCAACAATGCTAGACGCAGCGACGTTCCGCCACGCTAAATTTGAACATGAATTAAGCTCAAGGCCGTGCATCGTTCAAACTAACATGTTTTCGGTCATGTGCCTAGTTTAACTGTGTTCAGTCCGCTCCTTATCGGAGCCCGGGGGACATTCATTATGACAGGCAGTAGAGTGGGTGATGCCGTATGTCTCCGAAGCTTTCACAATGCAAGCAGGGTGCCATTGCATGCTTACAGCAAGAAGCCAATAGCCGATGTGGAACCTTGGGGTGCAAAGTCATTCTCGTTGAGACTGGTCAAGGCATGTCGAGGCTGTTCAGGTTGAGACCAGAATTGCCAAGAGCTAGCTCTTATTGCGAGCTGCTTTAAGTGTACATGAGAGGACAACAACCGGAAGTACCAATGTCGAATGAGGGATATGCAAACAGCGCCGTCAACCAAGCGCCGCCTGGTGCAGGACCGTGGCCGCGGAGGCTGTTGCTGACTGAAGCGTAGAGGCGATGGATATTGGAGGGCACCTCAAGCCGACACGGGCGGCTGTATATTGTAGCGCGGTTTGGACTGTTTGTTGATGCCACATTCCAAAAGAATCTCAATTATGAAGGCTGCAAAGGACGTCCCGCAGCATGTCATTAGCCGCGGTCTTGCTGTATGCGGAAATGTGGTCATACTTCTCCCACTATCAGCCCAGTCCATAAACTTCTTCTTGTCTAGCAGTTGTCCTTCCAGTTTGCCGTGACCCATTTTGCTAGCAAAGTGGTAAGAGTCTCGCCCTCCATATAGACAGCTGTATCGTCGATGGAATAATCCAAATCGAGAAACTGGAACGCTAGGAGCACCCAGGGCTGGATAAAATCAATATACACCACGTCGATCGTCTCAGGGTCGCCTGATTGTAAAGGAGGATCAATCTGGGACTGGATAACGTTTGGAACCCTGTAGGAAGCAATGGGCGCATGCAGAGTGTCGTCGCCATCAGAGCCCGCGTCGTCTTTTGTGGTATAGCCAGGCGTGAGATCATGCTCAGACAAGAGCGGCCTCTGGAGGTCCTCATTGGGTGGAACAGTCACTTTTTGAGTGAACACATGCGCTGAAGAGGACCGTTGTTCGACAGGGGCAAGCATCCAGCTCTGCAGACTGGGCTCCATATTCTGGATAACTTCGCCATTGTTGTTCAGAATTGTCAATAGCTTGCTGGCCTTGTCGTACGGAACATCCTTGACGTAGCGAAATCCACTGGTGAAGGGAGAAACGATATACGTCGAGTCCCGAGTGAAAGGTCCCTTGAAGATGTCAAATCGGATACCGCCCGTGTTTACCATAGCGAGCCTGGATTTGTTCATTCTGTTCTTGTCAGCAATAACGTCTGGCAAGACACGTTGCTCCAACCAGGTAAAGATACTGCTGTTACTAGGATACTCTGCACGGAACATCCACAAGTTTTGCTCTGCACATCCATAAGTAGTATCCAGCTGTAAATGCTCACGAGCCGCCCTGATCTCCTTGGACACATTCTGACCGTGCTCTGTTGGGAATGTTGTTGCGTTCAATTGCGTATGACGGTGAAATGAAAACATGTTATTGTCGATGTAGGTCCGTGAAAATTTTGGCGCGGCAGATGTCTGAACAGTTTTCGTGCTGGTCGACAGTCCGTCAATGGACTGAAAACCGATAGTCTCCATGAAACGTCCACTTTCAAGGGCGAAGGACTTTGCGTCATACTTCTTGTAATCTCGAATATGCGTGTGACCGCCAAAGAACTGAATGGGTGTATCCCATTGCACTTTACGAATTGCTTGGTAAAGCTCGAGAAATTCTGGAGAGCGAACTGGCACGTGGCCGATGACAAGGAATAGGTCAACTTCGCGATCCCAGATTGCTTCTTGAAACCAGGTCTCTTTCACAGTATCTTCAACCGGCTGAACCACGGTATTGTTCTCGTTTCCAGTAAAGTCATAGATAAACCCGAAAGCCGTTATCCGAATACCCTGCTTCCTCGTGGTGAACTTTTTGAACCGTGGTGCAAGAGGGATTTGCTCTCCTGTTTCGGGATGCATGATGTCCAAGTTTGATGCAAGGTAGCTGCTACTGAAGTTAGGCACATTGATGTTATATTCATTCTCCGATGAATTTCTTTTATAGAGCTCATGGTTGCCGGTACATATCAGATCGATGTGCTGTTGTTTGATAATGTCGAAGGTGTATTTTCCCTTCGGATCAGAAGCATCGTAGAGGCCATTCCCTTCTATTCTATCGCCTGTATCGATCACGAGAAGATCCTGACCATTTGCTTCGGCTTTCTCGCGCATACGGGTAGAGAAGGACATGTAATCACCCCAGTCCGCGGAGTATGATGGCCTGCAAATACCCGTTAACAATTATACTTGGTAATGAAAGATATGCCTACTCCTGCAAATGCCCAGCATGCCACCCATGAGTATCTGTGGTATGCAAGAAGTTTATTTGTCCCCAGGTTAGGTCTCGAAGCGGCGCCTCTACTGGTGAAGGCGCCAACGGTTGAGAAGCGAGTACAGGGGAGATGGCCAGAAGAAGGACAATGAAGCTGAGCCTGTCGACCATCGCGACAGTATTCAAGTCAATCGACAATTCGATATAGCTTGCAGAGTGTACCCTTTGGTTAGATGACTGTCTCTGTCGTAGTCGTAGCTATTGTCGGAAGCCTTGATTGGGTTAGCTCCAATGATCTGAGCTCCCAATGTCCCCCGGAGTTATTCCGTCCGGGCGGTCGGCGATTGCGCCCCAACATTGGGAGGAATCTGCGGTCGGTGGGCTACACCCTTCACCAGTCCCGGAGGTCGAAGCTCTTCCGATTACTTTTTTCGGAGCTTCGACGGTTGTCATTGTCACTCCTTTGCTTCTTGTCTGCATCTGAGGTTGTACCATAAACCACCATGGCAGCTTTGAAGCCATTCCGTCTGGCCTCTCGACTTTTCTCACAGCGACCACTTTCTCCCGCAGTCTGTTCAACATTCCTTCCGGCAGCCTCAATTCGTACACTGCCAAGGATACGGACTTATGCTACCCCAGCTGGAAGAGAGTATACTGTGCGGGATGCCCTCAATGAGGCATTGGCAGAGGAGCTGGAGAGGGACGAGAAGGTGTTCATCTTGGGCGAGGAGGTAGCACAATACAATGGAGCGTCAGTGCTATATCAAGCCCGTGCCACAAGATGAAGCTTTGTCCAGCTGACAATAAGAATTACAATAGTTACAAGGTTACAAAGGGTCTGTTAGATCGCTTTGGTCCGAAGAGGGTCATTGATAGTCCTATCACGGAGTCGGGGTTTTGTGGCCTCACAGTTGGCGCAGCATTGGCCGGTTTGCACCCAGTGGTGAGGCAACTACCCACCAATTGAGGACTGGCCAGGCTTACTCTTGCAGTGCGAGTTCATGACGTTCAACTTCGCCATGCAGGCAATTGATCAGATAATCAATTCAGCTGCCAAAACACATTACATGTCCGGTGGCATCCAACCCTGCAACATAACATTTCGTGGCCCAAATGGATTCGCAGCTGGTGTCGCCGCGCAGCATTCGCAAGACTATTCGAGTTGGTATGGCAGCATTCCGGGGCTCAAGGTTGTGTCCCCTTGGAGCGCCGAAGATGCGAAGGGCCTTATGAAGGCGGCCATTCGAGATCCTAATCCAGTGGTGTTCTTGGAGAACGAGTGAGTATTCAGTGTTTACGCCTGAGTCACGAAGCTAAGCAGGTCAGATTGCTCTACGGTCAGACCTTCCCCATGAGCGAAGAGGCCCAGAAAGATGATTTCGTGCTACCGTTTGGTAAAGCCAAGATCGAAAGATCCGGCAAGGACCTTACTATCGTTACGTTGTCAAGGTGTGTAGGTCAGTCATTGAATGCGGCTGAAGATCTCAAGAAAAAATATGGCGTTGAAGCAGAAGTCATCAATCTTCGATCGGTCAAACCGTTGGATGTGGAGACAATCATGAAGTCCCTCAAGAAGACGGGTCACCTGATGGCCGTCGAATCAGGATTCCCCTCCTTTGGAGTGGCAGCGGAGATTCTCGCCCTGACGATGGAGTATGGATTTGACTATTTGGATGCACCGGCGGTGAGAGTGACTGGGGCCGAAGTACCTACACCTTATGCGGAAAAGCTGGAGAAGATGAGCTTCCCACAGGAAGACACCATTACCACCTACGCAGCGAAATTACTTAAAGTATAAACGATTGGTATTCTGGTCAAAAGCATGTCATGTACATTATCAGGTTCATGGACGGACTACGGTAATGCTGCATATGATACCGACAGGTCTGCAATCGAAGTGCTTTGATCTCTACTTACTTTTAACACTTATGCTTCCTCGCTATTCAAAGACTGTTTGTGCACATCTTATTAATCAGCAGGCATACTCAACAAGTACGTGAAACCTCAAAGCTTCGTTGCTTTTCATGGTACATTGCTTCACTGTGAACAATTCCACACGATGCTCGCACTGCAATAAGCAATTTCGCAAAGTCAAGCTTGCACATTGCACCATGCGGTTCGCTTTAGGCATCATAAGCGAAGCAAGGTTTTCTTCACTGTTGTTCTCAGTTCTCTGCAGAAGGGCCACACCACAAGATTGAATTGAATGACATTATTATGGCGCAAGGGCCGGGAGCAGCAGCAGTCTTCTCTAGAGAGGCGGAGTCTCAGCCCACAGGGCCTGAGGCCTCAGCATCATCGGCGATGAATTGCATATGCTTGCAGGCTCAATCTTCGTGATGGAAGCAACAGCTGATCACCTTCAGAACTTGGTTGGGGAAAAGATTGAAGGTCGAACCCAAAGGCGCATTCCCCTCCTACTGAATTATTGCACCGGACTTACTGGTAGCTAGATAATCCTCGCTCGCTGTTCCGTCCCTGCACAGTATGCAGTGCCAACCGGAGAAGGAGGCTTTGGCTCTGTGCTAATGGAGTCACTCAGTAATGGTCAGTACTTCTAAGTTGGCGAGGTTAGGGAAAGCGATGTTGACCCTCGAAGGCCCATGGTACACCGACAGAGAAAGCTAATTCGCATCTCACCTTGAACAGCCTGCTGTAGGGACCTCTGTGGTGTGTTTCCTCCATGCCAAAAAGTCCTCAGATTACAGCCCTCCCAGATTAAGCCGTTGCCTCCAGCCCAATGCAGTTGACTTGGTGGTAGTCCACGGTGTTTGACCTTCTTCGCCTTAACTCTTCTTCAAGACTTCACCTTTGGCACAACTCTGCCTCACATCTGCTGATCATCCGTACTCTGTTCCCGCACAACCACTTTTTCTCATCTTCGATTCAAGCGCAACTCGGTCAGATCGCGCTGTGTGTCTACCATTTTCCTGTACCTCACAATCCGGCTTTCGAGACTTTCCATGGTATGGTCCTGTCACTTTCATCCTGTCTATTAGTAGGAGTATAACAATATCTCGTCGATGTGGTTCTGCTTACCCGTACTTCGTTGATGCCTGTTTCCTCTGATCTTCGCTGATGCCTTTCATCACCAGGTCAAGCCCAGTACTTCACCATGGCGAATATGAAGAACTCAACAGCGAAGAAGGCCTTTCCTTTCCTCAATCTGCCATTGGAGGTACGACGGAAAATCTACCTTATCATGCGCAGCTGGCCCTCCAAACAACATCACGCAGTTCTATGTGTCAGCAAGCAACTACTAGCAGAGCTAAGGAATCTTACGATCAAAGAGACTTGATCTGCCCCTCTGAAGTCGACTTCGTCAGCATAGTAGGCAAAGCTGCTCCAGTGGTCCTAAACAAGATACAGACGCTTGCCATCACTTTCGAGCACCAAGCCTTTTTACAAGCGAGAAGCTTGCTGCCTACTAAGAGGCTGTATAAAAAGAATGAAGCTGTTTATGCCCTCGAAAAAACTCTTATGGAAGGTCTCCAGGTTGTAATTAGCTCCCTGGGCCGCCTACCTAGCATCAAAGAGTTGTCAATTTTGTGTCCGCGAAGTCATACTGATGACGGACCGCTCAGTATTTATCTCAGACCACTGCTCACATGGTTGAGTGAGAACTACAGTCGAATCGAGTGCCTCACATGGACCCTTAAGAGCGTGTCACTCGAGCCACTTTAGGCTTTCACAAAGCTGCGAACTCTCAGCTGCTCAGCCTATTCTCGTACCTCAAAGGCGCGAACGAGCAGGGTATTGGAGAAGTTGGATCGCTTGGAGGAGCTTACCTTGACGAGGCCCACCCCTGGGTTCCGCATTCCAGACTTAGCACACTCATTTGACGGAAGCGTCTTGCGCAGCATGAAGCCACTAAAGACGTTCAACCTCCTCGAAGAAGATGATGTTGACGGCGACACCGAAGATGACGAGAAAATGGATCGGCCCTCTTCGCCACACATCACAGACAGCGTCCTCGGCGCCATTTGTCGTAGACATTGCAACACACTCCAGCACCTGACCATGAGGTGTGATTACATTTTCGACGCCGTGGTGTCCAACTCAATACTGACGTCGTTGGTCACTAGAGCAACATCGCTCAAGACCCTCACCATGATCGTCTTTGGTTGTGATCCCGACTTCCTCGAGCATCTGCCTAGAAGCCTTCAGATCCTTGTTTTCATCCTTTTGGACTGCGAACTTCCTGCATTCGGTGAAGCCGATCTGATAGAGCTTCACTCAAAACTGCCACAGCTACAGAAGATATCGTACAAGGTAGGGTACCCGTTTGGAACTTACATGTTCAGCTTCGAGAGCAGGGAATTCGGCAAGAAACAGATGCGCTTAGCACCATCTCAATATTTCCGAGAAAGAGACTTCATTTGACAAATTCTTAGGATCTGCGCATTTCGGTACAGAACGACTATCGCAACTACGTCGCGTGGGATCCGGAAGGGGAGTTTGCTGGAGATCTCGAAGTTGATGCAACGGCTTTCTGATGGTCCTGTACATGTAGGGTGGTGGGTGAGTGAAAGGACTGGCGAACATCTTCCGTTGGCGCAGGAAAATCTTTCGCCGCAGAGGTCGCCACGCGAGAGTCTGACCGAGTATCAGAGATGGAGAGAAGAACTTCGTGCTAATAGCTGGAACACGGATATTAAATTTGCGAGCGTGACAAGTGGCGTCAGAAGAGGCTGATAAGTATGTTGTTTCTTTCATGCGACAGAAACAACACAACAAGCATGATTGTCATTGAAGCCTTGCTTGCTGTCTCTGAATTGCGTGGTCCTGTTATGCCCATTCCAAGAACTCTTCATCTCTTACAACCAACCCCCAAATACCGGCACACTCGTATAAATCTCATCCCAAGCCTTGATCTCCCACCCCGTCCCGACACCCTTCCCACCCCTTCCCAGCATCCACAGTCCGGCCACCAACGCCGCAACACCATTAACGACCCACTGCCTCCTCCTCGTCTTTACCCTGCCATAATCGCCTCCCTCCTCCACAAATTCCGGCGACAACCTCAACCACTTAGCCGCCCCACCCACAACATGCCAAACCCCGACCCCGACCAGAGCGGCATAGCCCAGATTCGCCACAAGCGGATGTTTCGCAAACCCATGCGCCACGAACCTCAACCCAACCCCCGAACTCCCGCCCTCCAGCCACAGCGACAGCCACCTATTCACGAAACTGTGCCCCGCCACCAGCGGGACAAATAGATAGCCCAATACAGACTGAGCCGAGAGTTTCGGCCAGGGCACCCTGCGGCGCTCGTCGCGGGATTCGGCGCCGTGGCGTCTGATGCCGAGGCGGCGGCGGTGGATATGCCGGAGAGGATGTGCGTTGTGCCAGCGGGGCAAGGAGGAGGGCGGGTTCGAGCAGCTGGGATTGGTAGTACGGCCGCGTGAGGAGGAGGTAGGTGTCTGCGGTATGGAGGTTGCGCGTGACGAGGGGGAGGAGCGAGGTGTTGGTGATGTGGAAGGTCAGGAAGAGGGCGAAGGGGTAGGTGGAGTATTTCTGCAGGGCGAGCAGGGTGCGGGTTAGGGTGTGCGGGTGGAGGCCGAGGGTTGTGGAGGTGGAGGCAGAGGTGGGTTTAGGGGGGTGGGGTGGATTATCGTTGAAGTATGGGAAGGAAGAGTCCTCTGCGTTTGCTTTCTCCACTGATGGCGAGGACGGTGATTGCGGTGAGAGGGGAGATGCGACCGGTGACGGGTCCAGCTCGCGCATGGAGATGAGGGATGGGGAGGTGGGATCCGCCATGGCGATGAGGGCGCAGGGAATGTAGCCTCGATTCCAGACGTCTCTAGAACAGCCCCATACTTGACGGAAAAGCTTCTCGATGTTGAGGTGATGTGCTACTTCCTCTGCATTGCAGAGGTCGAAGCTCTAGTTACTAACTACAGTATGTATGCATCACCCTGTACGGTACGGAGTACACAGCTTGCCTTTTCCGGCATGGAGCTTGCAATTCTGCCGCGCTTCACCGCCTAGCTTCCCCCTGCACGTCTCGATTAGCAATACTGTACGGTGTAACTCACTCCGCAACCCAGACAGAAACCGTCTTGTATTAATTCAAGAGAAACGAGATCTAGGACCTGTCATAGCCTCTCGCAGAAAGCAGCTCGAGCCAACGTCATGTCGTTCTGGTCGTGAGTATTCCAGCTTCCAGCAGTTTGTGCTCACCCTACTCCGCCCATTCCCCACCATCTTCCTCAACGCCTACATACTTGAAACCAAAGTCTGACCTCCTCAATACAGGACATACACCTCCCTCACGCCTCGCACCCGAATCTTCTTTGGCCTCGGCATTATGGCCAACGCAGCTCTAGCGCTCCACTTCTCAGACCAGATCGAGAGCGCGCTCGGCCTCGTACCGAACAAGCAAGACGAGAGGGAGCTGCAAGAGAAATTGCCAAGGGTTACGAGAGTGGATCGGACGTGATGCGTCTGAGAGTGCTTGGAGATGGCTGTCTCCCGCCGGAGGGGAAAGCTCTCCGCCAGGCATATTGTACTCTCTGCTGAGAAGCTCCGTGGATGAACTCGGGCAGATCACAGCTTTGTTAGGATCCTTTTTCAGGAAGCAGCCGTATGACTGGAAAGTACTGGGGTCTTTGCGACACACACTTGTCGCATCTTGACCTATCCAACGCTCGTGAAAGAACCTTCTGTACCATCGGACTCCTTGCTGCACACTGGTCTGCTTGAGGACTTACATCGAAGCAGCTCGCAGGCTTTTGTGCGGGCATTAAGGGGATCGGCAACGTCACAAGCATACAGCTGATTGCAGAGGACGCAAGGAAGCCTGAAGACGACGTTATTTGCAATGGCTGTGTAGATGGCACGCCTGCTCAATTTCTCCTCTCACTGCATCTGGGAGCTCACAACAAATCACGATTCAATCTGCCGATTTCATACAACTAAAGCTAGCTTCGCTCGAATCGAAGTTCGAGTTCGATGACATTACTCCCCTCGTATGTTACTCTATCAAATTCCCAACTCGACGGGCTCCTGTCACCTCACATAAGGAGGTCAGATCGAAACGAAACCGTGGTTGATCTCCGGAGGTAAACAGAGGTGGAGGGCAAGATGAGACGGCAGAGAGGAAGCCAGAAGTTGCCTTTTTCGATTAAGTTAATCTACTGCCGTTGCAGAATCCGAATACTCGGTCACTGTTAGTCAAAGATGCTCGTTTGGCTACGAGTAAAGTCAAGAAGCAACTGGCCTTCCTGCTTTGTGCTTCAGTAACCTATAGCCCATCTATCGTACGTCTTGTAACGGCAGAAAACCCTTGGGACTACCTTCATCAGCACATAGATAAATACTTCCAATCTGTCAGTCGATCGTGAAGATTTCTCAGGGGGCTTAGAGTGCAATGTGAACACCGATGAGAAGGCGAATGATTCCGCAATCTCAAGTTGAGTGCTATGGCTCCTGTTTCGGTGAAGAGCACGGTATGAGAGTGTTACATGTCCGTGAACTTTTTTGCTATTTTATCTCTTTCAACGGATGAATTGCAGAGCATGGCAAAGTGTATGCGTCTGGGTTGCGATCCATAATCTACTCCGCTTCAGACGAGAGTCTTCGACTCTTTGTGGCACTGGGCGACCGAGAACGTCAGTCACAGCGAAGACGACACTTTGGCTCAACTCAGTCAGAGGATAGTGAACAGGAGCCACGAAAGGCTCAGACGTTTCCAGGTCTCATCCTACAGCAGCCCGGACCCATCTCTTGCATCCGGGCATACAGCCGGTTGGCTGCCTTGGGTCATAATAATCTTCTTGGTCTGTAAAATCACTGTCTTCCTCATTTGCAATCCCCGCCTTTATCTCTTTCAGATCGGCTTCCTCGTCCTTCTTCACCTCTACCTGCTCCTCATCTTCGGCCGAACCAAAAGCACTTTTGAAACCTCCTTTCTTGAATCCGCCCTTCTTGACGCCACCCGCCTCGACACCACTATTGCCTCCGTTCCCTTTTGCCCCACCTAGCTTGATCTGCACGAGGGGCCCTTTCTCCTCCTTCCCTTTGGTCGGCTGTTGCGCCTGTTTCTGCATACTCTTCATCTCTTTCAGCCTCTTCTTGTGCTGATGGTCATAGCTGGACTCGTGGGCGTCGTACTCGTTTTGGCGCGAATAGCCCTTCGAGCAGAGGTCGCAGTAGAACGCGCTGCGGAAGGCCTTTGCGGATGTAGTCGAAGCGGGTGGAAGGGTGAGTCCACGCTACAAGGGACAAGAAAATCAGTATGGAAGGAGCAAGCGGGTCAATACGCCAGATTCAGGACCGCTTTTTGGGAACGTGGAATGATATGCTCTGGTGGTACGACTTGTCAAGGGGGCACCTGAGGGTGTTACAAGTCTTTCTTTGGCTGGGACTGACTTACAGGACCCATGGTTGTCAGTAGAGGAGAAGGAAGGAAAACCCCGAGCAGCTAGAGAGTGGAGCAGCGCAGATATGGCAAGGAGCCACCGGGGAACATTGTATGCTGTCAGATCGAGCACTCTGGTCCACACATCATTCTTTCATTTACTGGTACTCCGTAAAGTCTACAAAGGAGAAGCAAACCTCGATGGTCACAGAATCGTGTTTGACCGGATCGCAAACTTGCCAAGGACGAGGCTGCCAAGATACTAGTAGATAGTATGGAGGCACTTGAGGCTAACCAATGCAGGGTTTAGGTACCTCTGTAACAAGGGGCTTATCCTCCGAGGCCTTGACGACCTACGTCGTGATGCAGTACACCTACTGCTCCTGAAATTCGACACTAATTATTCCATCCCCCCCCCCCTTCGCGGTCCCGTAGNNNGGCTGCTGAAGTCGCCTGACCCCAGAGGGAACAACTAAGCGGTGAAGCGGGATCAGTGAAGATCCTCCCTCAGAACGATGGGCGGATCAAGCTATCCAGCAGTAGCCTTGCTCAAATTTTTACGGCTGTGGCACAAGTACCTGAGGCGATCGCTCAGGCCTCCCCGCTGAGCAGCGTGAATGGAGGCTTTCTGAAACGGCATTTCAAGCCTTTGTTGGCCTTGAGTGCGTCGATCAGAGAGATACTACGGAAACCTAAGACACCGAAATGCTTAGTCTGATCAACATGGGCGGTGCGGGGAGTGCTATGCACGGCCTCACTATCTGATTTGTCCGCGGTAAACGTCCATGTTTCCTGATCTAAGGAGAGCAAGGGGCTGAATGGAATATTCCGGCAGCCTTCATCTTCTGATGCATATCATCGGTCCTCCTAATGATATGTGCGTGACACTAACTTAGAGGGCCGAAGACTTGGCCCCTTTTGGGCTGGGGCCAGAATAGTCCTACATTTCAACACGGGATCTGCGGTTTGTGTCTGTGGACTAAGGACGAGAGCAGGAAGGACGATTAGCAAGGTACGCTTCCTATCCCAGGCTTAACTAGCGTTGGGTAGCTGGTGGAAGGTGATGGAAGTGGGCACAGAACAGAAGAGGAATAGCACGTGAAAAACCGTACAAGCAGAACCCTCTTAAGGTACACAGTGCCTGAGCTGTTGGCGCAAGGCTCTGAAAATGTTGCCAACCTTGCCCTCCCCTGTGCGTCTCTGTACGTATTGATCTTTTGAAAATTAAGCTTCGCATGATGGGCACGGGTGGCTCGAAGCACAACACCATCGATGGCGCAATAACGCAGCGGCATAAAAACAGCTCGCAACGATCCGAAACCTTGACGGGAACTTGGGAGCGGATAGGCCTCTACCCGGTAATAGTCAGCGGTAGCTTCGCCTTAGGGAAAAGTGCTACGCATGGTCTATCTAGACGACCATCTTATTCTGCAACTCGCACGGCACACTTCCTGTTTGGAGACTTGGCGTCCACTTCCAGACATGCCCTGCTACAAGGATCGGCTTCCCGTTTCATACAATGCAGCCGAGAGAACTCTCTTGATCATGAGGGCTCACGAGCGGCGGCTCTGTGCAGATTGTGTGCGTCTGCTACCTTGTGCATCCCCTTAAGGCACCAATGTCGTTGGACGAACCAACCCAATGGATCTGACGTTGCACCTGAGGAACTCAAACACGAGTTCTGGTGGTCGTCTTCGGTCACACCGAGATCCTACTCTCTTCTAATCATCTTTGGGCAGACCCTGAGAAGTCTCTCGTTTCGTATTACTAGCTGGCTTGGTAGGCTTGGTTGGGACCGAAGCTCAGTCTTTGCAAGAGGGCGAGCTTGTTAATGGTCAGCTCTCACTCATGTGACGATGAACAGGTGAACTGTCGAGGCTACGTAGTGTTCCTTGTGCGGCTCCTACCACGCATCCCGCAGCTGCGTGAGCGAGTTAAAAAGCTTCGCTGAGAGCCTGACAGAGTTTTAGTGATGGCCCTTTCATGCATGGAAAGACGAGGGTTGAACCGGTTTCCGACGCTTTGCAGCGAATCCTCAGGGTTTCTGCTTGGCAAAAGCGTCATTCTTTCAAGAAAAATGTTGAGAATGCACACCAAGCGTCATGTCGATGCTGCTCAATGGATTGGTATAGATCTCCCGGCGTGTGCTGGTGCATAGGTAGTTGTGGTGACAATGCTGGTACTCTGGTACTGGATAGGTCAGCTTGCTGTCGAGTTCAGCCCTTGGGCGTCGTAGCCAGGAAAAGGATTGCAACACGCTCATTAAACCATGTCAGCATTGATTCAGACCGGTTCGCCATCTCTGTCCTGGTTGGACGGGTCCACGCTTACGGATTATGAGTTGCCACCAATCATGGCGTGACTGCTCATATTCTGACTGCCCTGCCCGGCATTTCCTCGTCACTTGATATGTCACGGCGGTGATCATCACGTGGCAGCTAATCAATTAACCCGCTCGAGAGTTCCGAGCCTGCCGGTATCCCTTGAGTAAATTAGCTTTCCCCCCAGATGGCATCTGTCGTCACACTTCGCAACGGGCCTGACAGCGTTTCGCTACCATCAACTTCTCCTTGGCTCGCACCAGCTTACACGCTCCAGGGTCTCTGCGGGTCGTTCACGGAGAATACTAGTCTGCCAAAGATGCTTGAAAATTTATAGGCTGCCAAAAGAGCTTGCCGGACGACAATGAACAGCGCTATAGTATTGACGACTGCATCGCTGGCTCAATGCAGCAACTGTTGCGATCATAACTCCTAGCATATGCCATTAACCTCCTTGGTTGTCCATGCATTCGTAAAGTGTAGTAGACGAGGTGTCTAACCTGGTTTGAGGACTGCACCGAAAGCTCATCACACATCTGTCACATGATCTTTGATGCTCTTGATTCGGCCAAGATCCCACAACTGCCTCGAGTTTCCAACGATAGTAAGCACTTAACCGCGGGGCGTGGCGTTCGACTTAGAAAATGATGCCTAGCTACTCCCATAATCAGGGGCCAACCACGTCGTCTTCGTAATCCGGTTGTAATGCCAACATCCCACAAGAATCATGGTATACGTAGAAGAGAAGAGTATGAGTGGTCCGGACGCGACGCACTCGAACGCTGCTGGATGGAAAACAAACTATGAAGAGCACATTGCTTGGTATAAAGGCATCTCCACGTTGCCCATTGGGTTCAGGTGATGATGGCCAGAGCGGAGCGACCCATGTCCGTCAGCTGAGTTGGTTGCAAAATAAGGTTGGCCACTATTCTTCTGAGACTGTAAAGATGCGGTATTAGAGTTATCAGTCCTTGAGCTGAGGCTTGTTAGGGGTGTAAATGCTCTGTGGTTGACAGGCAACAAAACGCCTGGTGATAGAGTATTTGAAAATGCCAGTTTGCTTTCGTGGTTTGGAAATTCGAAATCCGCTTCACTGCACGAACTGGATGACGACCCCCAGGACACTGCGCTCTGGGGAGAACGAGCTTTGGTGGCGTGGCGGTAATTCCCACTCGTCTGAGAAGAGCCCCTGTGACTGGGTTCCCAATCCATTGTCGATGATCGTCCATGGGAAGGACTAAGATAGGACCCCATCGAAGGTGCACCGCCAGAACTACTGTCACCCCCAGCCCCTGCGCCTCGATCGGGGTCCATGCTGGCGGTACTATCTCGTCTGTTGTCTTTGTAATGGCCTGGCGACCTTCCTCGAACGACCATTGGATGTGACTGAGCACTTGCCACCTTGACCCATTGCGCGTCTCCGTGCCTGCCCACATCGGCGAAAAGCTCAACCACAACATGAAAATATTGCTGTTGTGCTCTGCGTTTGCCGTTATTTGCTGTTGCTTTCTGGAATTGGATGCGCTCAAATGTGTGGGATTGAGGCGGTCCTTGGTGCTGTGTCGAACTGTATTGCTGAGGATTATAATCGACCATCATACTGGGTGGCATATTTGGTGGCCCTGCATACAAACTGCTGCTCCCGTGGTATGAGCCGGAATTGGTCATGATGGATGGCTGCGCTGCTTGCAAAACCACCTTGCCAGGGACTGATTCAGTAGCTTTGTCCCTCTTTGGAGTGTGTTGAACTAAATTGCGCAACTCGCTTTCTTGGTTGTTCACGACCGCTGTCTTGGCCGAGATCTGTATCGCAAAGGCGTTGATCTGCTCATGTTGTTGCGTTGCATGTCTTTGGAGGTAGAGTTGTGGTTCGTAAGTCGCAGGCTTCAAAGTGAATGAACACGAAACTGTGAAATAATTTCGACGATAGCATGTCCATTTATGATCGACCTTAAAGAAGCCTTTTTGAATTTTGGCATCGATTTTTGGCGTCAACTGTTGATTTCGGGCAGTAACAACGGGGCAAATGACCTTTGTTTCTTCGAACGGAGGCCCATCCTGTGCCCCCATACTTGAGTTTCTTGAGTCTTGGTCTAATGGCATACCAGGAACAGTTGGGTTATAACTTGGTATCTGCGACTGGAAGTTATTCCCCAAGTGTCCAACCTGTCGTGGCGGAGGATTAAAACTCGCATATCCAGGGAGGTCTTGCTCGTGAGACATCAATGGTGGGAAGCCTGGACGATTCACAGGATACCCAGATGCAGAGTTGAGGTCTCCTAGCAATCTACCTGCCATTGAGGATGCCGGCATTGAATATGTTGCACCATGAGACGTGCTGGGTGACAAGTTCGGGGGGGGTCTGTCCCTCTCCATTCAGCATTTGTACTGAACCTTGGATTCGCGAACCCCGTCTTCAACGAGGTAAGTACTTACAGTGCAGGCACCCGTTGTCTGTAGTCCGACATATTTCGATCGCTCCACAAAAGCGGCTGCGGCAGAAAAGAGGAAGATGCATTCGAGAAATTGTCTGCTCCAGTCGCATTGTTTTGGTAACCCGCTGGTAAGGCTGAGTAGGTGTAAGGCGACGTCGCTGAGTTGTTGCCTATCGATCCAGAGCCACTGCAAGACTCGGGGGGGCTTAAAAGCTGAGTAGTCGACTGTAGTCTACATTCTCTGGTTGTGAATATTAGTTGCTAGAAAAGACGCTTAAGAGCAAGGAAACGGAAAGCACAAGAGAATCAACGTGCGCAACAAAATGCGGGTCCGAACGAGTAAAGTGGACCTCAATAGTCGGCATGATACTGGCTCCATGAGGCTAGCGACGAAAATGATGATCAGAAGCCAGGTAAGCATGGCCCCAGAACGTTATTTCGTTGCCGCTTCAAGTGCTCGTGGCCGTTGTCAATGCCCTTGGGCTCTCGTGCATGTAACTCATTGACACCGACTAGGCTGGGACGGAAGCGGTTTGGCGGTGACCAGGCACTGGGCAAGGGAGGGGGATTCTGTTTTACCAGGTGGGGGCCCTAATCAAAATTAAAGGAACCACTTACGTCGCGTCTTGGAGAGGGGATTGCTGTGCAGCATATCCAAAGCCGTTATGGCTGGGCACCGTGAGCGGACTGGCCAATGGTGGATTTACGTTGCTAGTTCTGCCATTATGTCGCAAGGGACTGCTCAGATTCGTCGATAGACTCGACGTACTCGAGAAGGCCCTTCCCTGGACGAGGTATTCTTGTTCCGAGGAAAGCGGATACTCGATCGGGTAAGGGGTGTGGATGAGTGCTATTATATTCAAGATTTGTTAGCCTTTTGAATTCAAGCAGATTCGGTAGTAAACACAGATTTGGGGGAATTTTTTTTTTGAGGGTTGAGGGTTGCCAGCCCTGCAGTGCAGAGAAATACAGAGCCGACCCTGCCACTAACATGCATGAATGAAGCGCTAGATAGGCACTGCAGATGTAACACAATGTGCCTAGCGGACTTCGGAGGCACCCACAACCCTGCAGTAAGGAAGTACCCGATGCAACGAGAAGGGCACGACTATTCATTGTAGTAGAAGCATCATAAATATCGAAGAGAATGATCACCATAGAAGATGACTTGCGAAAGTCTGAAATTTGTAGTCATATCCAGACAAAATTCCTCTCCTGAAAACATGGAGAATCACTCACCATGATTCATCTGAACTTTTCCGTGACAGCCACAGCCGGCAGTTACTGCATCAGCTGTATCTGGATGATCGATGTTACCTAACCGGCCCCCCCAAGCTGAAATACTGGTATTGAGACCTGGCAGTACGATGAAAGTGGATCCAACGGCCAGTCACCCTTGGTGAGGAATTCCGGGTGGCACCTGCAGCTAGGGCCTAGGTACAGATCCTGCAGGTAGCGTGCACAAAGACCCAGCTAATAGGGGATCTGTCGACCGTTGCTGACGATCCAGGTGCCCCCAGGCTAGGAATCGGGATACGAAGATCACAACGTAAGCCCCACTGACGGTTCTCGGGATGCAGCGAATAAGAAGGCTCTGACGGTGAATAAGTTAGCATCACATATCAGACTAGCGCATGATGGTGAATTTGCATCCAGGGAAGGCCGCTAAAACAGGTGAGGTTTAGAGGATGGCGATAATTCCATAATTCCATGTGATAGCTTATGAAGACAATAGCTTGCCAGGAAGGTGCGAGAACAAGGCATTCATCAAATTCACTTTGCTTCCCATCTTACCTGAGGAGAGGGTAGATTGAGCACCTAGTTGGATGATGAATCAAAAATTGATATGCTCAGTTGCCTGGAGAACCGAAGCTGCCAATTGTGTGTATGAGGAGCGTTTCGAGTGTACGCTTGCTATGATGAAAAGCTAGCCGATCCAGAGGCGAAGGAGTAATATCTGCTGAATTGTGTGGCTCCGTCGTTGTTTGATTGGCGGGCTGAAGTGCAGTGATAATGACTGATGATCAATCAACAAGCGTTCGACAATAGAATATAAGGTATTTCCAGTCTGAAAATGTTATTGTCATCAAGGAATAGTATCTTTTGGCCAAATTGCCTGTCCCATAGGATACTTCTGTAGATGTACTTTGGAGTCCTTTGTCTCCAATTCTTCTGCGCAACAATATGGTGTAACAAATGACCTATCAGAGATCAAACATGGAGTAAAGCTGACCAACCCAGCATGGCAACTTTCGGGGGTACGCGAACCTGGTTTAAGAGGTTGACGGACAAAGAACAAATCTTAAGGTTGAGTTGAGGGTGTACGAATACAGGTCTTGATCAATGTGGCGAAAGTACTCGGGAATTTTAGCTGAGAGGTATTGTGAATGAGCATCAGGAATTCCAAGAGGCAGGGCACAGTCTATTTCATCAAGTGGCTTGGTCGACTCTCCCGGCTCTCGAGAAGGTAGGTGACAATGGCAATCAAGTCACTGGGCGACCGAGGTTGTGCCAAGGGGCTATTGAAGGTGATGGATAGTACCTTCAGACCGTGCGTTATTCCCATACATAAGGAGTTCTCCACAATAACTCGCAGTCTTCCCGACAAGGTGCCTCATTGGGGCAATGAAGGATCTTAATGGCCAACTGCATAAAACCAGATCCAATCGATTTCGCGTCCGCAATTCTGTTCCTGTTTCAGCCTTTGTCCGGCTGCAAGTAGCCTTCAGTATGCGGTGTTTAGACCCGACCCCATTCTTCACCCGCATATCTGGGGGTTTTGTTGTGGCTGCGAGGAAAGTATCAGTGCCTTAAAATCATATCTACTTTCTTCCCATGAAAAGGCTGAGGCACGTATCACTCGAATTGTCATTCAAAGCTGCGGACCTTAACACGGCTGTGGAGATCCATAGCGCCGAGTGCTGAACAACTGCAAAGATCCATGCAATGCATTCGATCGGGGCGTGTTTTTCAGCTTATTTCCTCGCAAAATCTGTCATCGACTCAGTCGCATGGATCATGAATGATGATATGATAGTCTCCACCCATGACGACTGACTTCCGCCTGTACCTAATGCAGGCATGACAGTACAAACATGACTGAGCACCAAGCCACCGCGAGATGCATGGAGGCTGGCATCTGCTGTAAAGGACCAAGCATAGTGCCAGCTGAGATGTCGAACAAAGAGATACCATATCACCAGTGCAATGGACAGACAGGCAATCTGTTGGTACTTTGTTGTGCAGGGGAGAATGCTCTCCTTGATCCCTTCCTTAGCAGAGAAACCCTTGCCGGGCCAGATGCAACTCAAATAGTCAGCACCATGATAGTGGTGGGCTCGTATAAATGTGACATCATAAGAATGGAGGTAGACGTCTTCTTTGTCTGCTCCAACCTTCTCTCCCGAAGAAGCCGAATGGGCAATAGTCCGTTGTCCCTTTCAGCTTTTCTTGTTGATGGATATTGATTTCTGAAACTGCGAATGGACCATGAAATTTGCAGGGCCCATGCCGCCTGGAAGCCCTTCGCATCGTCAATGACAGGGTTTATGCAGGATCTGCAGTAGGGTTGGTGTGATCAACCTCTGGCTGGCCGGTGGAAAAGATGCTGCTAGGCTTGATCGCAATGTTCCAGAGCACGAAAAGAGTAAATGCAGAAATCCTTCTTGGGAAAGGTGGCTAATTTCAGGCCTGTCTATCATTTGCGGAGATTTTGTACTGGTGGTGCAGAGGTGACAGGGGAAGGCTGGTCCACTGGACTGAAAGACGTGATGGCTGCTTGGTTTATGGATGTGGCTCGTGCTCAGGAGCTGCCCAATGTACTAATTCATTACGTAGTAATTAATTTAAATTGCCGCCAATTCTACGTGATTTATTGTAATATATCATGTAACCCGTAACACACCTCCGCATTGCATATTTAGTTTCAATTAACACAGCCAATACCGTAAATAGCTCATTGTCTTTTCTGATATTTCAATCTTATGACACCCATGTTAATACAGGTCCATTGTTTTTCGCCTGCTTTATCGATTACCTGAAAAAGATGACCTACAGCAGCTCTTCAAATCGTCCTCAGGAAAATGAAGCAGCAGCAGAAGGACGCCAGTCCCTCCCAAGTTCCGAGCATTTTGATTGCTTCGCTTGAAGCTCCTGAAAAACTTCCTTGCAGTCTATTTGAAGAAATCTATCCAAGTTGATACTCCAATGTGGGTTCTGCAGACCCCTCGGCTATACCAGAGAAGCGTCATAGTTGTGGGTGTGCCGCACTCCTCAAGCGCTTCGAGTCAGCTTGCTAGCTGCTCAAATAGACCAGCTCTTCTCTTATCGCTCATATCGTGTTGCTTCCTATTCAGTCTCTTTCTCAATCATCTACGGCAAGCCACCAAACCTTGGGCTTCTGCCGACAATGGGGAACAATCCATCTGTGGAATTGCGAGATCTTCCCTAAACATGTGGAGGACTCCTGATAGCTCTAGATCGGACGTAAGCTCATGCTTTATTGCAGCTTCACAACCTAGTCTGAATCTGGATGGACTTGTTTTACGCAAAGGAGGGTACCCCTCATGGACCAGGCTCGCGACGAGTCGTTCATTGAAAAAGCTGAATCAAAACTCTGTGTCATTCGAGCTGGCTGCAGGATTGCCTAAGCAACAGAGCACCCCTACACCACCTGAGTAGTATAGCCACCTTTGAGTCCACGTCAGTGACACACTCCGATGCGACCCGAGATTCCTGAAAGAGCCAAACGGCCACCCGAAGACACTTGCATCGGGCTTTAATGGCTCAGCGTACAACTTCCTAGTCGATCACTCTACCCGAACGTCGATCCATTGGGATAGCCCGAAGAAGGGTGCCTGGGTAAGCCAGAACCGCTCCAGCTTCCCTATGCTACTGCCCAATACATACAATGTTTGCTGCGGGTGATAACCAGGCATCCAAGCGAGCAGATCTGAGCGCTTTGACCAGGCGTTCATCCACCTCGTACCCTGTTGCACACCGCCCCGTTGGAGGACAGCAGTCATGCAACGGCCCCAGTCACCTTGCTCTCACGCTGATCCTTACTTCACCTCCCCTCTTCGAAAATCATTGGTAGAGAAGCCCCCGTGGACCTTGATTTGGAATTCTTCGAGATCCTTCTGTTCGTAATATTTAGCTGGATATCTGGCTGACTTAGCGGCAAGCTGCATCGCCTTACCTCCTCAAACTATTCTAGGCTGTTTCAAAAGGTTCATTGTGCCTTCTGCCCGTCCTGATCCATAGGAGGAACCCAGGTCGTTGGGGCGGCCGACTAGCAGGATCTTTTCCCGAAAGTTCTATCGTCTACCTTGATCGGCTTGAGGCTTCTGTGTGATTGATCAGATTATGTTCCGGATGCGCCCCCATTAAATGGATATTCCTTCCAAATGAGGATTATGCATTGTGATTGGGGCTGGATGCTGATGCCAACGGTCAATGCCAACGTCTGGGAGCCATCTTCAGCTGGACAAGGCCCCCCAACAGAGCTGGGGCCATCGTGATAACTCTAGCGTATTCGTCTCGATGAATATGTCGGCAGTTTTTAACAAAGATACAGCTGCCTATTTTGGACGTAGGCTTTTAAGTGTTCTGGTACTGGTTGACACTCATACAGCCTCGTTCACCATAACGCGATAAGGTTCTCGCGCATTCTTACCCAACCGCGAGGGAGCTACACCCATTTTTATCCGTTAGACAGCTTACGTAGTAGAGCAGCAGGGCCGGAGGCCACCGCTCTACTCCATCAACACACTATATCAGAATAAACCCGCATTTTGGTAAGGTCGACCGTTCATCAGAGATCCATTACCTAGCTCGACACCTTCTCCAGATACATGGTCACCCACTACAGCATCATGGAGTCCAGTACAACACCAGGCAACAAAGTCTTCTGCCAACAAAGTGCTTCCAGCCGTGCCTTCAAAGCTCAAATCGAGCTCCTAATCTGTATCTACAGCGCATGGCAAGTAGTTTATGTTTCGCCCACCGAACATACTTTCGAAATTTGTCTTCAACGAGGAGTAGTAAGCTGGGATCAAAGAGATCTGATGAACTAAGGACCGGAGTCTACGCTTGAGGCGCTCTTCGCATTCCACGAAGGCACGGGTGAATGTCAACTCCGTGTTTAAAGATCTATTTCCCATCTTGTGCGAAGTTTGGCCCTATGTTCTCTTTCGCTTCCCCGACCTATCTCCCATGGACGGTTAAGCATGTACTTCCCCCATATGCCATCTCAAAACTGTGAAGATCATTTAACTTGTTCTATCATCATGCGGTTCTACAATCCTCGTGCTAGATGTGAGCATTCGTCCTGCTCTCGAATACGCACGTCGCAGCAAGTACGACTACGCAGTGTTATTCTCCATTCGCTCAAACAATGGGAATGGCTCTACCTGCCAGGTAAGTCGAAGGCACGCCATCCTAGTATCTCCCTATGGACCTCAAGAACACAGAATTTTTCCTCAGATGACTGCATCTAGGCCATAGAGCGGACACCCTGGATGTCAGCCTTGCGTTCTCGGTTCTGCTCAAAACGATATGGACGTTGACCGCCTGGTGCAATGGCTCGGCGTTAGCATGTTCCTTTGAAATACTCAGCGGCCTTCGTCACTTCACATTCTTGCCAGCCATATCTTCTCTCAAGTGGTTCTTGGGAAGCGGGTCCTAAGGCAGGTAACAGAATTGGGGGGCTGGCTCTTGTACGTAAGTACTACTGCGGAGGTATTCATGTATTTTGTCATTTACTCTTGGTCTCGTCTCTACTCCTAAGTACCAACCAGTCTCCCTAATGCCTAGATTTGATGTAGAGGATCGTCTTCGGGACATGGTGACTGGCGGCAGTGTTCACGTTAATAGCAAGGATCAATGTTAGAACTTTCGGAGCAATCTTTTCGAATGCTGTAGCCTACAGTGCCTGGGGACGAGTTGTCTAACTACCCTGATCACTCTCCCGGCCTGACCTGCAAGACTCTTTCATAAAGCCATGAAACAGTCTTGAATTCATCTGCTCATCTAAGTCGTCCTCTTTGCGAACTCCACCCTCAAGATGAGATGTCGATATCCAAATCCATCCATCTTCTCGCACGCTCTCGCGGCATCTGTTCGGTCGACGAAAGAGATGAAAGCAAAGCCCTTTGCACGTCCAGTATCCCTGTCTTTAGCAAGGAAAACCCTAGTAACGCGGCCGAAGCGCTCGAACATGTCGCGCAGGTCTTGCTCTTCTGCCATTTCAGAAACCTGGTAGGGAATAGTTAGCTTTAGATCACGCTGCCGAAAGGCATCGGTATAGGCATGGAACTTACATTCGTGACCCTAAGCGTAGCCAAATCGTCCCTCTCATACTTCCCTCCCATCCTGTCTCCGCTTCCAGCTGCTCCTCCCTTCCTCAGATGTGGAGGCACATATCCTCCGCTGGTAGCTCCCAGACCTCCCGCGGCATTCTTCTCATCATCCTCTGCCAGAGGATCCACCGCCGGCCCACCCTCCTCAACCGGTGCCATCGTCTCCTTATACGGACACCTCGCCGTGAAATGTTCACCACCACAGATTCGACACTTCACCTTCTTGTCCTTCAACGCATCCTTCTTCGCTTTCTCCTCGGACGTCACATTCGCCCCACTCTTTGCCTCTTCCGCTTGGACAGCCTTCCAATTCACACTTGGTCTGAATTGCATGTTCTCAGCTATACTCGTGGTGTCAGGTTGAGGGCCCTTGGGCTTTCCCTTCTCCAAGCCGAACTTGGGCCATGAGCGTCGCTCGGCGATGGCAGGGTTGACACGTTCTCGGTGGATAGTAGTACGTGTTCTGCGGGTGGTCTTCACGCGGCGGCCGTTCTCGTCGATTCGGTAGGATATGGTGGTTTTAGTGCCATCTTTGTTGGTTCGGGTAACAGGCGCAGGAAGGGCGTTGGGGTCGGAGAGGTCGGGCTCGGAGACATCGTCAGCCCAATCTGGCCGGCTGCAACGGGATAGAGTCAGCTGGGTATTGGAGTCTAGGATGAAAATCTTTCTTGATGTGATCAGAGTGGGAAAGAGACAGGGGTGGAAAGATTTGTGCGAGGTTACTCGGGCCACATATGGTGACATACCTAGTTGTTTTTGACATGTTGTTGCAACCTGATTGAAGTTACACTGGCAAAAGGTGTTTATGACGATCCTTTTCTTTGGCTCGCTTGTAGTTGGTGGTTAACGATTAGATTTGTGTGATTGTTAAGATGTCCAAAATTTAGTTAGAATCTACTACTAGTAAGCAGATGGCGACAGCCAAGATTTCATGTCTGGCGAGAGCTGCGCACTCACACTGAACGAATCAATCTGCTTCTCCTCGTCGCCACCGCCTGCCTCGTCCATCTGATACACAACTGAGCTTTACATGCGCCAATCTTTCTATACTTCTCTAGAAAAGTTTCAGCTGCAGGATAAGGTTTCCGAGTTACCAATAATCTGCTCCGTATATTGCAGGAATTTTCGCTGCCAGTGGTGGGATGGAACAAATGTCCAAGGCTTGATGCTTACTTTGAACTAGAGAACTGATGCATCTTATTCTGACTATCATGTTTACTTTAGACACCTGTCATTCAAGCAGAGGGACACTGTGATCGAAGAAACCCGAGACATGCAGCTTCTCGAGCTTCACAGATTCATGAAAGCAAGCTTGGGTGAAACTAAATATGGATACATAGTATGCCATGAATTCAATATTCAATCCGGCAGCAATATCTAAGCATATGCTGGAATCAGAGTGTCAGCTCAGCACCGGAGTTTAGACTGCAATATGAACTACTTCTAGAACATTTCATTTCCAGCCACTTCGCAAACTTTGTACTCGGAATTTCAACAGCACGCCAGAACAGGTGGGCAAGGAAGAAAGTGAGCGGGTAAGTGAACATGATCGAAACCAGAATGGTGATCGCAAATCCTAGCTTTGATTCTTTCCCATTTGTCAGGGCTAAGAGCGTTGGCATCATCGTATACGTAAGTGTTCTCCTGACATTACCGTGCACGATGTACAGCGAGTACGAGATTTTGCCCAGGTATTGTGCAAATCCATTGGTGAAAACAATCTGGACGTCATCCGAGTTTCGGACGGACCAAACAAGCATGATGCATCCGAGCGTGTGCCAGCGGTATGAATTTGGAATGAGCCACATTATGGTTTCGTACCCTGGTGTAATCTGCGGATCCCACGATGGCATGCCAGCAAGGTACAGCCCGATCGTGAAAAGCACGAGCCAGAGATAGCGGTATCGGTTGACTCGTCCTTCCCCTTCTCGCAGGATCAGGTCTACCTCTGCCAGGAACATACCACCGAAGAAGAGGAGAATGTCATTTTGTCCATGATAACCACAATACAGGATGAAGGCTCCGACAAATCCCAAACGTGCAACAGTGTGAACATTCCAAAGGCCAATGGTGACGATGAAAAGCAGCATTGATCCTTGAAACTCCGTGGGAATGGTCCAGAGATGTGGATCATAAGGCGTGCTGGCCGAACCCCCCAAATGAAACGGATATATCATATTGTTCATATCGCTCCGCCAATGTGCAAACTGCTCGCCAAAAGTGGCCATAATCGGAGGCGTGTCTTCTCCTGCTGCAAGATATTCTCCTTGAAGGAATACCCAGTGGGAGTAATTGAACATGCCCAAGCGTACAAGGAGGAACGCGACGAATGTTGCAAACAATGTTGGTAAGTAGAGTCGGATGCCACGCCGGAAGATTGCCGAGCTCATAGTATGCAAAAAGGGGTCTCCTGGGTGAGACCGTATCTGCTTAAGTGGCTTGTACGAGAGTACGTATCCGGAGATGACAAAGAAGCAAGCCACAAGAGCTGGTGCAGTCCATAAAAAGTGGATGAATGGAAGTTGAATGAGGTAGCGGTTACTCTCATCGAACCCGAAGCCTCGATTGTGCATCTGACAGAAAGTGTCCGTAAAATGATATTGGAATACGCCGAACGATGCATAACCTCGCAAGCCATCAAGAGAAGCAATGGCATTCAATGTCGTGCGTGATTGTGTGGTGAGAAAACTAGGTATCAGAAAGCGATAGCAAGCCCGGACGCTCTCTCGGATTACCTGGCATCGCATTCTCTTTATCACTGGTTCCGCGTCCACGAGGAAGAACTCCTTTGATTCCCGCGGAGATTCGTTGTATTGTTCCAGCTCATGCACAGGCATATTAGCCGACATCTTGCTTAGAGCAGAAGCAATTCTCTTGACAGCAGAACTGTGGGTAACGCAAGTATATATGGTCCAGTTCGGCTAAAGGGTCATGCAAGGGGTTCGAGCATGAAGGTTCTGGCATTCGTCTACCAGATTCGACAGAGCATTCGGTCTTGGAGGAAGCTATCGGATGTCGTTGCGATCCGAAAACTGGACAATTTCAGCCATGGTTTATATGGACGCGAGAAAATTTCTCTCATGTTAGCAAACAGTAAACAACCTGACGCGTCTTCCAAGATTGTGGAATGAAGGCGTTTGACGTGCTGGAATGTGAATGTGATGGCTCGATTGTTAGGATGACCTCCTTAAACCACTATTGATGACATGGAACAAGCGTATCCAAGATGAGATTGAAGCAATTCGTGTTCACCTCAACTGCAACGTTGGCCTTTATCACCTTCGCGTTGGTTGCACGGCAGGCGCAAATCAGAAATGCACTTGACAGGACTGGACTCGGTCTACTTGAGAAGTTTCGGGGCACAGCTCCACTATGGGATACACAACTCGAAGAAAACAGCATTGTCGTTGAGCATACCGCGGCATCAGATCAGATCGTGCCACACAGGATTGGCATGGTCTCCATGCTAATTGGCGACACAAACCCAACTTATGAACGAGCGCTTCGGACTCATTTACGGCATGGCGAAATTCAGGGTTACGAGACCTTTGTGATGAGGAGCAATGTGTTGGATATGATGTACAACAAGCCAATGTTCATTCTCAACATTTTGATGGACGAAATGAAGAAACCATTTCACGAGAGAATGGAGTGGCTATTGTAAGCACTTCTCCATCCATTGATTAGCAACCCTGACATATATAGCTGGTTCGATTGCGACAGTGTTCTCATGAATCCGAAACTTAGCCTGTCGCACTTCCTACCTCCTGCAGAGTTTAGTGATGCGAATGCGCTTGTCACCAATGACGCGAATGGCCTGAACAATGGTGTTTTCTTCATACGAGTCAGCGCTTGGGCAATTGAGGTGATGTCGGCGAATGTAGCCTATCGAACGTTCAATCCCGACGAACAATTAACTTTCCAGGACCAAAGTGCTCTAGACAACATCTTCCATATGGAAAAATTTCGGGATCAAGTGGTCTACTGTCCACAGCGCTGGTTCAATGCATACCAATCTGGTTTTCTGAACGAATCAATCGAGGCGAATCAGATTAGGCGGGGGGACCTCGTCGTGCACTTCGCTGGTGTTGGCAACAAGCTCGAACGGATAAATTGCTGGTGTGACATCGCGGAGAAACATTTACCTGATTGGGAAGTTGAAATCGTTCATACTTCCCTGTTGGAGGAGATTGATGAATTTTGGAGCCAAAAGAAGAGCAATGACGCGATAGAGACACAGGAGTTGCGCAATGCTCGCTTGAGTGGAACCGAGCTTGTCGACGAAATCGAACGAAATATGACGCTATACCGGGAGTCCTTGACAAATGAAGAGCAAGTCAGGATTCAAGATACCGTGCAAAAAGTGCGAGAGCAAGTCAAGAAGCAGAACAAGGAATTGATATGGGGAGCCATTCAGGATTTGAAAGAGGTAAGGCAGAATTCGTACCACCCTCTTCGAATAAATCGGCTGACGGCAGCAGGCAGGGAGGAGGTTGGAGGATTTGGAAAAACAGACAAGGAAGCAGACCATCAAGGAGGCTCATGCTACGATAATTACGGCAGAGAGGATGGGAATCAACGCGGAACAATTGCGGGAAATGCTGTTAGAGGCCAATAATTGGGACAGCATTCAGGCTGTGACGAAAGACTTGAAGGCCAAAGTAGAAATGGAAGCAGTGAAAGCACAAGTCAAAGCTGATATCCAGCAAGACATCAGTCAGGCACTCAACCAGACAGCAAATCAAATCAACGAGTCGACGAGCACGCTGAGCACAGAATCCTCAAGTCAGACGACGAGCGAGACGACGTCGTCGACAATGCCATTCGTGGAAATGGTGGTGGTAACAGCAAGGGCGCTTAAGACCTAGAATACAGCATCACATATGGCTCTGGAATGGATGCTTAGGCCACTGTTCGCGGGCATGTCAAGCTGTTATGCCAGCTATGTTCACGAAATTGCTGATGTTTGCAGGACCAATACTGTTGATACATTACCCGCTATCGCAAATATGCTTTCGGGGAACGATTTCGATCACCGAACCGAGCCCTCTTGTGCTTCGCAGGGCCTACAGAGATTGTCCTTGAGAAGGGACGCTGGGAGTCTTCATTACAATACCATTGTTCAAAATAGAACGTGTTTCAGGTAATCTATCTCCAGGGGAAATAAAATCTCTTTCTCCGCTGGTTGACCACGCACGAAAGCTTACGTAGTATGTTTCCTGTCGTCGCTTCACTCTTGCCTCTGTACTGTTTACTCGAGTTCTACTCATGTGCTTGCATACACACTTTGTGGTCTTAACCCCCATTGTCCACTTCTCACGACGGGTATCCATCAAATCAAATGAGTCAAATCTTAGTAGGCAATAATTTTGTTGGATAACTGTCAAGAATTTCCATCTCGCAGTGATGAGTCCGCCAAGACTTTTTATTCTTTCAACAAAAATAAGGCCAAAACATGCAACTTTCTGCCAAGACCCAATTTGATTAATTTGGCAAACGTGATTTGTTTCGATTGCTAAGCATTTGATTTGATTTGATTTCACTAATTTGATTTGACTGGATACACTGTCTCACAATGGCTTTTGTCCAGGAGAGTCCCGGGATCATAGACACATAATATGTCTATTGATATCGTTTCCCATCCTTGCTCACACCACCACAACATATTGTCCTCTGGCTATCCTAGCTCTTCCAAGTTGCCAATACACACCTCACTAGGAGCAAGATAGCAATAAATTCAAGATGGCAATTTCACTAGAGCGCTCCAAGACCCGTTCCACCGAGCCATTGTGTCCTTTTGAATCGAATTGAGTCAAATAAACCAAATCAAATGCTTGGCAAATACACCAAATCCGTGCTCTCGTCAAACCAAATCAAGCTTTAAAATTGACAGATTACTTCAAATGGAAGTCTTGGCAGAAAAAATACCTTTATTGAACTCTTGGCAGACTCTTTTTGTGAAATGAAAATCCTTGACAATCCTCGTAACAAATATTACTTACTAGCATTTGACTCCATTTGTCCAAATCAATCGACCTCTAGGAATAGATAAGCAAATAAAATGGGGGTCATGATTAGGTTTATTTGATGTGAGTACACTGTTCCATCCCGACCACCCCCACAAATTCCAAGCCCTAAATGACCCGAGTTCTCGGCTTCCAGATGAAGGCAGGCCTGGGCACTCCACGCCCATCCGAGCCCAATCCCTATGATGCAAATGAGGGAGAGCAGGGAGCTTCACCCTTGTCCAGTTCAGATCCTAGGCGCGATGTCACTGCAGGCCAGGAGAGCTGGGGGTACTAATCACCTCACCTTCACCTGTGTCGACTGAAGAACACACGTCTCAAGCAGACGATATGGACCAGAGCAATCGCCCTATGTATCCTAATGGTCATTATGGCGGTGGTCTGAGTCCTTGTCGTCTCCTTTCGAAACGAACGTGACAGTCAGCGCTTTAATGGGCAACACAACCAACTTGTACTTGAAGTGGAGCAGCTACCTGCTATTGCGGATCAAGCCGGGCGGCAAACGTCTTAGAGAGCTGAGACTTGACCTCAAATGGGGTTGAGGTGCGTTTTTCTCTTTTTGTTTCTGTTCTGATTTCTTTTGCTTTTTGAAAGTTACATCTTTGAAATTTTTGAGTGGGTGGATGGGTGAATTAAAATCAAGAATAAACAATCCTCGCATGAACAAATCCGTATTCTGTGCATTTGACACACCACTATGTCCGTACCTCTTCGTTGTTATGGGACAGCTAGAGACTGTCTCATTTGCTAAAGGATACATAGACCCATTTTCTCAGTATGCTATTCACAGCGACATTTACTCTTTGCGTCCTACCTTTCGTCTGCAATGGGATGGTCGATAAGCAGATCTTGCCCGATGGCAAGCCCTCGACATCCACAGGATGAAACCATTCAATGTCCCGGTTCCCTGTGGCATGCATCGCTGGCTTTATCCCTATCCGCGAACACACTTCTTGCCCTTTTTAGTTCTACTATGGAAGTGGGTTCCGCATTTCCGTTCTTGCTCCAATGCTGACATTGCACTGTTTAAACAATTTGCTATTTTCCTTTCAAGTTCTCACTGTGCGCCATTTTGTCAGTTCTTTGTGCGAGAGTAATAGAATCTGTGTACAATGCCACTGATCTATCTGGTACTCCACCACGTATACCTAACTGTGTCTCTATATAAAACCTATACCAAAGTTCTTAGTCAACGATGTCCGACCATTCAAAACACACCCTTCTCACCCAAGCCCATTTTCCTGTTTTCCCAAACACGTACCACATTCCAATCCGCACAAAACAGCAGTCTAAGATGGAAGAGACACTCAAGCCAGCCCTCTCAAATGGCTACCACACGGTAGACACCCGCCCCCAATGCGCTAAAGATAAGCCCAACCCCCTGCCGTGAAGCCGGTGGGCACAAAGCTGAGCAGCAGGGGGCACTGGAAGAGCACGAAAAGGTGACACGACGTCTCCTTCTGCAGATGCCATGCACTCTAGCACTTCCATGCCAGCATTGCGAAGAATACTTCTTCTATGGCTTACCGACGAAGTTCCTGTGGGTTTTGCTTGTTTGTTAGGTGTTGTGACGGTCCTTGTTGTATTTGCTTACGACAACTGCTAGGGTTGGGTCAAGAATTTGAGTGAGGGCTGGATGGAATGAATTTGGCGTTTAGGGAGATTTTTTGGGTGGGCAGATTAGCCGAATCAACTCCTTTCTTTTTGTTTTGTAACTCTATTATCTTGAGCTTCTTGCTGGTTACGTTCGGACAAATTACCGGAAATGTCTGTCGGCGACATCTATTTAATCAGTCCCCTCTTACGAGGAAGAGAGATATGTTTTCCGAACGACACGACCTGCCTTGACTCCCGATGCGGCCAGTTAGAGGCGGCTCATTTCTTGCCACTTCAAACTACCTGATGTCACGTCTTGAGTCAATGAGGGGAAATCAGCGAAGCCCGAAGCATTGATGTGGCGCAATTGACTCCATCTAAGCGACGAAGAATTATCCAAGAGTGGCCTCTGACCGGCGTGACCGCTACTACTGTTCCGCCCCTCCTGCCTTAACCAGACGGTCTCGAATACCAGTGCATTTTTCACAGTTGTAGCCGGATAATGCTCCTCAGCCGGCCTCCAGGGACCCCGTCTTGGCTCGTGGATCCTTTAAACTTGCAGCACAATAGCACTCCCGGTAGTGCCCCGGGGAAGAGAATGTGTCGGCACTTGCGCCGCCTAGGTCGTAAGCACCGCAATGGCATTCCTGTTGGCTTAGGGACAATATCTCAATCGCGTCCTCGGATCTAGGTACGGGGCTGTTAGACGATGCTGCTGTGTCTTTGGAATACCGTCCCGACGCACTGCAGTAGCGCTGTCTCAGGCTGGAGGATGCCTTGGCAAGGCGAGAGGTCATGCCGGTAAAAAGAGGCCGAATAGTAGGCAAACAGGCGCAGAATATTGCCATGCCTATGTGTATAGTTGACCAAAGTTCCGCTTTAATGTATTCTGGAACACGGCTACCGGGGACATATGAATAGATAACGCGGATGATGCCTGTAATTATGACGCTAGATGGGGGTCAGAATAGAGAATCACATTGATACGAAACGGAGGACGGGAAATGGGAAAGGCGATCGTACAATCCTCCAAGGAGAAATATAAGCATAATGGAAATCTTTCGTTTCTGTGAAAGCTGGAGGCGTAACACCATGCGCACAGGAAGCGCAAGGATAGCTGTGTCGATGATGACCTCGACAGCGCCAGTTACCATCCAGAAAATGTTGTAATTGAAACAGTACTCCTCCCATGACATGCCGATCCAGCTATATTTGAGTGGCCGACAGTTGAGGAGGGTTGCGGTGGTAACGGCTAGCCAGAAGGCAAAGATGACAGCCAGAAGAAGCAGAGATTGCAGGTGGAAGGAGTAATCAATAGAGAAAATACGGCGGTACATAAGTAAGATTGATACTTTGATAGATGTGACAATGGCGAAATATAGAATAGAGGATATGAAGGAGAGCTTGAGGTAGGTTGTATGAGGAGCTGTGTCGAATGTGTCTGTTGTATTGGTGAATATTGCCTCACTAACTTCGCTCTGGGCATCTGGATCTGTACTGCTGCCTGGAGATCGTCAATTGAGAGAGGTGATTTGGGGTCGAGAGGAGCCTTACCCCACAGAAGAAGGCCTCCTATCAGCAAGCTGGTGAGTAGGCCGATTAGAATCCACCAGTCGTCCCAGGCAATACCGGCCTTTGTACGAATTCGAGTGTAGAAGCGCAAGGCGACACATATGGTCGCAAGAGCAGTAACGATAGCTGATGCGACCATTGTCCCCGAGCTGCTGGAAGAAGTTTCTTGACTCATGGCTCCCGTTGAGACGACACTCTATGATAATGCTGCTCGGTTGGGTTGAGATGGGAGCCAGCCGGTTCCTATGCTGGGAGGGTTAGGCATTTTAAAAGCTGGGCCAGCCAGGTAGCAAAGAGACGAAAAGGAAGCATGCTGCGAGTACATGCATTAGGTTCAAGGTGCATGATAGCCGTGCAGTCAACCAAACACTCATCAGTGGTAATTCACTCGGGACATCTCATCATTTTGCACCGGCTTCTTAGTTGTAGGCATCACAGGTGTGGTTCGAGAGTGGCAACCGCACAGCAGCACGTAGAACTGAGCTGGAAGGCTAGCACCGTCAGAATCGAATCACAGCATCAAACAATCATCAACACATCGCCAAGCAGCAGATTTGCTCACATTGGAAGATCGGTGGGATATTAGAGTGCGACTCCTACATCACGTCGCACCCTGGACACTCAACCAGTGAGATCATAGTTAGAACCAATGACGGCAATAGGTAGAGAGCGCCAAGTTCACCAAGACCCACTGATTGATGGACAGTTGTCCCAAGGTTTTTTGCCCCCATCTTGCGATACCGACCTTCATCTAGGCACGGCTCGTCAGTAATGCACAGCATAAAAGCCAGCCACCTTTGATTGGCAGATTGGTCTAACGTTCGCTTATAATTACCACTTGAATAACTAGCGTAACGCAGGCCTTGGACTACTACTGCTGTGCGATTATGCGCCAGTTACGAACTGCCTCCTAGAACTGGTAGAAAGTAAGTTGTATTATCTACTAAGGAGCTGAGCGCGTAGATATACGTACAAAACAGGCAGTACGATACAGTGAAACTTGCTCCGAAATTGCACTAGAAACCGCCCAATCAAACGCAGACGGATAGCAGGGATTAAAGGCAGCGAAAAAGGCCAATAGGCCCTCTCACAGCTTGACAGCCAGTGTTGGTGGACTTGGGTGTGTTTCTAGTTGCCTCCAACCCCACATACAATCACCAGCTTTTGCTCAAGCAAGATGAGTTTCTTCTTTGGGAAGAACAGATTCCCGGTCAATGGCAGGGTAGGATGGTCCATACATCCATAAGTCCACGACTTCCAAGCTAATACTTAGGCACAGACGGTCCTCATCACGGGCGGCTCGTCAGGCATGGGCCGAAGCGTAGGTCGCCAGCTTGCGGAAAAAGGTGCCAATGTAATCATCGTTGCAAGAGACGTTGCGAAGCTGCGTGAAGCCGTCTCATACATCCGCGTTAGTGCCCGTGTTACTCCCATACCCGTGGTCTTCAACCAACAGTCAAACTCCAGGAAGGAGCAGCTTCTCCAAAGACTCAACGATTCTACTACATAAGCGGCGACCTCACCACCGCCTCTGAGTCTGTGCGCATAATTTCCTCAGCTACAGCATTCAACAAGGACGCTCCACCCGACATCGTCTGGTGCTGTGCCGGCAGCTCCTATCCGACTCTCTTCGTTGATACCCCGGTCGCTGAGCTAAAGAACCAGATGGACTCCAATTACTTATCAGCTGCCTATATGGCACACGCGACACTTCAGGCGTGGCTAAAAGCCCCTTCCGAAGCCAAATCCTATAGCTCTAGCCCTGGTATTCTGCCAGAACGACATCTCATCTTCACCGCCTCTTTTCTCTCCTTTTTCACCATCGCTGGTTACGGCCCGTACTCACCCAGCAAAGCTGCACTCCGCTCCCTCTCCGACACCCTCTCTCAAGAGATGAACCTCTACGCTTCAGCTCTCCCTAATAAACCCAAGGTACGCATCCACACTATCTTTCCCGCCACCATTTTCACCGAGTCCTACGCCGCCGAAAACCGCGTCAAATCCGACCTCACCAAAAAGCTCGAGGAAGGCGACCCGGGTCAGACCGCGGATGAGGTGGCAAGGAGAAGTATCGCAAGGTTGGAAAAAGGCGACGAGTTGGTGCCGACAACGTTCTTGACGAGGCTGGTTATGACGAGCGTATTGGGTGGAAGTATCAGAAATGGCTGGGCCGTGCTGGATACGATCTTGAGCTGGGTGATGAGTTTGGTCATGGTGTTTGTGAGGTGGGATACTGATGTTAAGGTCAGGAAGTGGGGCAGGGAACATGGGGCGAGTGGGATGAAGATGCCACCTCGCTGAGACTGGAGTAATGATATATCGATGTAAATGGGCCTGCTAGCTAAGAAAGCTTCTTCCAGTACAGAAATGCCCGGGATATTTAGTGGGCATAGATGGTGTGCATATACTCTACAGATGCAAGGTACACCAAAATTGGTAAGATCTTGCAAGCTGGCTGGGTTACGATCTCCCATCCTCATACATCATGATACTACTTAATTGGTGTACAGCCGAAGAAAATGCAGGCTACTGTCCCAAAATCTAGAAAAGGGTCTGTGAAAGTTGAACTCAAACATGATTTAAGAAGCATGTTCTTCGATCGAAGATCGAGGGCCGACAACGGAAATTGACCAGCGGCAAGCTTCAGTGCTGCTCATCACGAGTACATTGTGCCATTTGACGAATGCTATGCTTTCAGCATCTTGTGTCTTCGTTGGTGACGCCCGTGCTCGTGGTGTAAGTTACCAACTTGACAAACGTTCAGAGCTACTGCTTAAAGCGGCAAGCCAAATACAGTAGTTTGACTCACCCACAGCCTCGGTACATTTGGACGCGCTACCTCACGTCTTCACGTTTTAGACAACGTCAAGCCTTCTCACCATCTCCTGTTTTGCGCTGTGCCGTTGAATCCAATTCGTCGCCTGTGATCTTCTTTGCCTTCCTTCGCCGGACCACTGGATGATCGAATCGACATAGAACCGTTGCCTTGACAAGAGTGATGCTGCGGCCACCATTTCGCCCCCTTCGCACCAGTCCTGGTTGAATCACACATAGCATTTCACCCACCCTACCATCCCGATTCGCTTTGAAGGTGTCTGAAGGGCGAATCAGCTGCGCGGTGGCCTGATCAATTACCTTGATTCCATCCATCTGCTGCCCGAGCAATGGTTCTCCAACATTGCAACATTGTTGGTATCGATAAGCTGCAGGCGAAAGGCGTACGTTCTTTGCTAAATCCGCACCTTCCTCGAAGATATTCCTCAACTCTTGCGAACGGAAACTCGCTTTTTGTTCTACAGGAAGTAACGTCTTGAGCATTTCCTCTAGCTCCGAGCATTGCTGGTGGAGATGCTTTTTGCGAACACCTTGCAAGTAGGGAGAATTCGACAAAGTGCGCTGGACTTCACTCAGCCAAAACGCAATGGCGTCCTCATCTGGCATCTATTAGTCAATTGTTGACTTGGTCACAAATGGGGAAACTATACCTCTACGTGGTTCATTGTGCTTCATTGCATTCGCCATGAAAAAAACGAACTCTTCACATTTTGAATCCAGACCTGGGAAACAGAGACTTTCTCGCAGGATTGACTGGTACACATGACGGTGGATGAGATATGTGATGATAGGGCAAGCAGCGGTCGGACACTTCTTGACCACTTCCATCAAGTGATCTCGAATTAGATATGCATGAATCAACTTCGCTGGTGTTTCTGTGGCGAAACATGCGTCCAACATGCCCAATGGATTATCATAGTCTCCGAATTGACTATCCGTCCAGTCTGAGATCGATTCGCAGAGTGTTCGATATTGCTCAGCTATCTCCGAATCCGTCAAGTGCTCGAGAGGTTGCATCTTGAAGATTCTTTCTTTGCAGTCGTCAAGGCATTTCTTCAGATGTTGAATGTCGGCTTTGGCTTGAACAAGTTCGCCATTCTTGGATTGCTCACGACGTTCATACTCTGTCAACATGTTTTGAAGTGCATCTCGCTGTTGGACAGTAGATTTGAGCTCTGCATCAGCACATCGAATATGCTCTTTGAGGTTGGCGTTCAGTTTGACTGCATGATTGAGCTCTGAGACAAGATTAAGATTACTTTCATCTATCTCAAGGAGGGAATCCTGCTGAGCAACACGGACTGCAACGCGTGAGGGCGATTGCAAATTACCAGGTGGCGAAGTGATAGAAAGAGCAGACATGGCTCTTTCCTGCGCACCGTCTGTCGTCTCTTGGGCTGGTCTGGTGGGAACTGATCCTGATCTGACACGGCGCCCAACAGTGCCACGGTCGGCGCTGCTTGTTGCCATCGTTGCCGTTCTATGATGGCTGACCGAATTTGCTCTGTGAGCCGTCATGCCCAACATGTCTGAGAATTTGGCGAACATCGAGTTGAAGAGTGAGCGTAGAAGTGGCTGTTGCAGAGTATGTATTCTGAGTTAGTTAAGATTATGATCACCCATGGGATTTTTGGTAGGTAGGGTGAGATGGAGGTGAGAGGTTGCTCAGATGATGCATGCCAACACCGCTGCCTTGTGCTAATCTCAGAAAACACCTACGAAATTGCAAGCTTGCCGCACTTTCTTTTTGAGAATAACACTTTAAAAGTACGCACTTCAGCTCCAACCCAACTTATTCCATCTTCAATTTGCCTTCCCTCTCCAAGATGACTCTCACCGTCAAAGGGTCAGCTTCACAGAGCGAGCGCAAGATATTGGTGGCTATTGACTTCGGTATGACCTTACTATTGAGTCAGCTTCATTGGAGAAACCACTTAGCTTTTCTAGGTACAACGTACTCAGGGGTTGCGTGGGCACAGACTGCAAGAGTGAGTCCGACCTGAACTCACACGCCTAGAGTTCAACTGATTTGTGATAGCCGGAGATTCAAACCACCGTCATCCAGTGGCCCGATGGCACTGATGCACTAGAAGGTGTTACAAACGACAAAGTACCTACTGAGCTCGCCTATGATGATAATGCAGGCTGCAAATGGGGATTCGAGATTCCTGAAGGCAAGCAACGGTATCAATGGTTCAAGCTCGAACTGGACCCCAAGAAGTCCAAAGAGACTTCATACCTCACTGTGGAGTATCCCGACCCAAACGCACTCCCCACAAATTACATCAAGACGGCTGAAGTTCTTTCCGTTGACTATCTTACTCATCTACGTGAGCACATCATAAAGGTTCTGAAAACAAAAGTGGGTGAAGGTGTGATTGCCTCTACGAGAATCGAGTACATCATTACTGTGCCCTCTGATGCAGCTAAATTTAGCACTCGATCTTGTGCTAAGCGTGCTGGTATGGGTGGCGACCTTCAGATTGTTTCAGAGCCCGAGGCTGCGGTCATCTACGCCCTTGATGCCATGGATCCGGAGACCTTAAAGGCTGGCGACAAATTCGTCTTGTGTGATGCAGGAGGAGGCACGGTTGATCTTATCTCTTACACCATTGAAGAACTCAAACCCGTCGTCAAGATCAGCGAGGCGGCGCCGGGCAGTGGAGCAGCTTGTGGCAGTACCTTCCTGAACCGCATTTTCCGCAGATACCTCGAAACAACCTTCTCTGATAACGATGGTTGGGACGACGATACTTTGGGGGGAGCCCTGGAGCGATTCGAGACAATTGCTAAGCGTAGGTTCAACGGCGACCAAGAAGACGTTGTAATACCGGTCCCGGGCTTGACCAATGACCGCAGCAAAGGCGTCATGCGTGGGAAGCTTACCATGTCCGCTTCGACACTCCGCAACATCTTCGAGCCCATTGTCACTACTATCACTGCGCTGGTGACATCACAGATCAGAGCTACCGGTGATGTGAAGGCTGTCCTTCTTGTCGGTGGATTTGGGTAGAGCCCATATCTACGAAGATCCATTGCCAAGGTGATCGGAGATAGCGTTCAGGTTATTCAGCCTGCGAAAGGGTGACTGCCGTGGTTCGTGGTGCTCTTATCAAAGCCCTGGCACAAGCATCTCCAGAGGCTTCCAGAATCACAATCGGATCACGGGTTGCTCGAAAAGCTTATGGCTTTGAGGTAAACGTAGCATTTGATCCGGCTAAGCACCAGCAGTCACGCAAGTATGGCTCAAGTCCCATCCGCGGTGCTTTCGCAGCTAACGTGTCGCAGATTCTGGAACGAGTGTCATGGTATGTATCGCATCAATGTGGTAGACTGGCTGGTCAAGAAAGTACGTTACGGAGCAGAAGTATTTGTGAATCAAGCTGACCACAGCAGGGCGATGCAATTAAAGAAACTGAACCTGTTGTCGTCAACTACATTGACTCGAAGATGGTTGGTTACGGCCAGCTCTCCAGCATTAGATGCAACCTCTACTCCTTCGAGTGCCCAACCAATCGCAACCCTCCTCTGCATGTAGATCAAGGTATGTGACCATTTACGACTCCAACAACTTGATGGCTGACAACCAAAAAGGCGCCAAGTTGCTCGTCACTCTGACTGCCAATCTCTCTTCGATTCCAACAAAGGAGATGCCGAAGCACACTGGTGCAGATGGTCAGACGTACTTCCACTGCAGCTTCGAGATTCGAGTCACCTTCCATTCCGCTCACACTACCTATTCTTTGTGGTACAACAACAAGTGCTACGGGGCAGTGGATGCCGAGTACGCCTGATACTCTTTCGGGCGGTCTGTAGGTCGTCCAACGTCTGCTGACATGGTTCATGCATGTGGCTTGTGCAGAGCGTGTCAGTTGTTTGTGCTTTTAGCTCCCACATTCACGATTCTCTGTACAGGGAATAGCTGATGACATGTGAAGCTTGCTTGTGGTATGAAAAGGCGCGGCTGCTTGCTTTGCAATTTGTCGTCTGAAGCAAAATTGTATATTTCAACTTCGAATAGTGCATGGCCAAGACCGATGCAACCAATCAATGCTCATTAGTGATGTCCAGGAATGAACCAATGGTAATAAGCCGCCCGGCATTGCAGCCCTCTCCTGTTATATACGTCTTTACAGCTTACTTCTTGCCACAATCATCGAGCTCCCTTTGTTCATCATATCCACCGCCTCTTTGACCATCTCATCCACGATCTCCCTGGCACTCTTTCTCTCGCTCACCACCGCAGCCGCCTGGCCCATCAGGAACGGTCTCGCATTGTCCATAGTCTCATCATCCATATCATCGCCCAACTGCTCAAAATCATGCTCCACAGGAATCGTGCCCTTCTCCGTCAGTTCCTTGATCTCGTTCGCGCGGTTCTTCTCCCAGTTCTCAATGTAGGGGTTTGTCCGCACGCGGAGAGGGCGGCCCGTGAAGATGATAGTGCGGATGTTGTCATCAAAGCCGGCGGTGCGGACGGCTTCCTGGTGGGCTTTGGGCGCGCCGGCTTCTTCGGAGAGGACGAAACGTGTACCGATCCAGACGGCTGTTGCGCCGAGCATGAGGGCCGCTGCTAGAGATTGGCCGTTGAAGAGACCTCCCGCGGCGATGCATTGAACTGGCTGCCCCGTGAGCGGAGACTTAGCTTCGGCGCACATCTTGGCGATTAGCTTTATTATTAGATAAGGACGAATAAGTAGATATATATTAATACTAGAAGTATATCAGATGTTTTGGGTGGCCGATCATGTTCATGTAAAATATACCGGCTTTGTGGAGACGGTCGACGACGGCTTTGGGCGGGACGCCGACGGCGGAGACGAATAATTTGGCGCCCGAGTCGATAATTATGGTAACTAATTCGTCGAGCTTGCCTTTGGTGTAGTCGTAGCTGGGCGGCCAATGTCAGAATGGACAAGCAAAGGGGTGGGCCTGCTGCTAACTTAGTCTTGCGCGCACTGCCGCCAACCTGCGGGATCAGAAGATCCACGCCGAATGGTGCATTCTTGTCGTGCAAAAAGCCCTTGAGCTCTGCGATCTGTTCCCGGAGCATGTCTGGTGTGTAGCCGACCTGCCGTAGGGTCAATCTGATTCTTCGGACCTTGCTTCCGCGCTGGACTCACGCCTCCAATGACCCCCAATCCTCCTGCATTGGTGACTGCCGCGGCGAGCTTTGGACCTGCTGCAACGTTCATGCCTGCAAGCAATACAGGATGCCTGATCTTGAGCATGTCGGTGACCGTAGTCTTGATTTGCTCTGCAGGAATTCGTCAGTGTATACTCAAGGGCAATTGGTAGGGTACGACCTACGAGGAGACGCCATGATCAATTGAGTTGAAATGAGGGAAAATAAACACGTGAAATAGGATGAACAGAAGTGCTGCCAGTTGATGGAAGCAGCTTGGTGGAGGAAAGAGATTATGAAGATATAAAGTAAAGAGGAGGGGGATCATGAGCGGTACTTTACAACCGACTGCGGAGAGAGTGGGAAGACTTCAAGCGGTCATCCCTCGTACCTCGGCAACTCCGCTGGATGGACGACGAGCTCCTGATAGCATAGCTGACCCCGAACCGCAACAGGTCCAGAAGTGCAACGCTCCAGATCTAATCAGAATAATTGAAGTTTGGATCACCTGCGTCAGCCGCGACTCAAATCCTTATCTAAATCATGAAGTATTCAGGCTAGGAATGAAAGATGAGAGAAAGATCTCGGAATCTTTAACTAGAAACAGAAATTAGTTAAGATGCTGGAGCCTGTGCGGGGATGATGTTGCACTTCTAGGTCGCTCACGGTACTCGAGTGTTTACGGAGTATGCCGCCCCCTGTGAGGTCCCACATCTTTGTAAGTCAACCCTCCGACAACCCCTCGATAGGACCTTTGCAAAGAAAGTGACTGAGTGCTGTGTATCATCAAGACATCTTAATCTCAAGAAAAAGCCTTGTCTACATAGTTAAGCCTGTCAAAATGCCTTCGCCAAGAGCATTTCACAACGAGAGTCATTCGGAGAAAACTAACTCTTCTGCAACATTAGTGTCAGAAATGGTGTGTCTCTGAACGTGTAAGCAAGGTGACTAGAGAAAAGGGACACATCAACCACTCCACCAAAAGGACAGCGCTCGTGGGTTTCGAATCACACTTAATTGATGTATCCCCATTGACTACTAGGAGACTGATTTCGCAAAGAAGGATCCTCCTCGCCGAAACTCATAATCATCTTCTGTATGTACTCTCTCTGTCAGTATTTCCAATCTTTAATTTTATATCATGACTTACCCAGAGCTGTGATGCTAAGGATACATATTAGTGCGTCCTCTGAGAGCAGATAAGTATGGTCGTCCATGAAATCCCAATTCAAGTTCCTGATGTGAAGCCGACCCCAATGATATTTAGCAACCTTTTAGCACATAGATTGCCTGTGCGCCCCAAAAATTAAGGAACCTACAGCTGCTGTGCAACCATCAACCAACACCACGATATTTGGACTTCCCAATCAAGAACCAGCCAAGTTTCTTCGGGGGTGCTTCATTTCTATTACGAAAGGAAAGTGGTAAAACCTTCTGAAATTGGGGCGGAGCCACAACTATCGCTTGTTACAGCTATATCTGTAAAGATCAGCTTAAAATGCGGCCCAGACTTGGTGACGATGGCCCTGGTTCTTCAACCCATCTCTTGAGAGATGTCGAAATCTGGAGGTGTTGCGACGTACTGTCATTCCTCCGCCCATGTGGGCTACACGTGTTGAAGATGCAGCCCGATCAAGGAATATACTACTGTATCGGGTCCGGGGGTTCGGAATCTCTACATTCACCCTTGCCCTGTCCCAGAAATCTAACCGAATAAGGCAATCAGCTTGGTCTCCCACGTCACCGATTTAGCTAGAAGAACCATTTTATGACCCCTGAAAGACTTTTAGAATATAGAGAAGCGCTACAGGCTTATTTTCACGTAGTTAACAAACGATTGGTGTGTGCTAACAAGTAGTGGTAGCCAGACTCGATGAAATTTCAAGAGAGAATGGAGGGTGGATTGAATTCTAACCACCCTGGGTTGTCACTAATGGATAGCTATCTGAGATCTCAATTGATCGTATTTGTACACTGCACGTTGTGAGATAGATGATGGGTAAGCAAGCCGACACGTCAAACCTCTCGAGATGCCATTCACTGCGAGTACCTGTTGTGTATCTTCACCTGTTCAACAGTTTCGCTTGTCGACGTATGCCTTCAAATCACTGGCCTGCACCTCAAACTGGCGCTGCAGACTATCCTTGATTGGCAATAGCAAGCTCGCTTGCGGCATATAATGTGTCTGCCAATGCGTGTATCTCGTTTTGCCGCCTGGAACGGGGTAGAAGGTGCTGACGTGCTCTGAAACGCCAATGAAGGCCTCGTTCTCGACGTTCTTCCATGCGGAGAGGAAAGGTTGGTCGACGAAAGTAACGACATCGGTGCCAGTGTTGTTGACGTCTGGCTGGAGGCCGGTGGAGTAGAATAGCACGGATAGACCTGGTGCAACGCCAGCAGGGGTGTCAACATTGTCAGGAACGTCGGCGTCGTAAATGAAGGTGTTCCATTCTTCGTATCTCCGGAAGTCAAGGATCGTGTTTGAGACCTCGCGAACTGAGGCGCAGATTTCGACTGAGGCGCAGACAGTGAAGACCGCGCCGTCAAGTCCGTAGGTGGGTGTGCTGAGGATCCCACCATTGCAGGTTACATCTCTGTATCTAAGCGGACCAGCCAGGATAAAAGGAAGAAATGCGAGCAGCATTGTCAGGTTGCGAAACGGAGACATTGTGAAGGCTGGAATAGAACGGCTTGGTGTGTGATCAGCTTTTGGGCGATTGTAACGACTTTATAATCGCCCTATACACCACTTTGTGCCTGCTATTTATCAATTCGATGTGGGGCACGGTTAACGAAGCGAGATACGATAGATTCCACATCAGCCCATACATGGCCGAGGACCGGAGGCGTGATTGAGGTTGCTCTTAGCAGACTAGAGAAATGTCAAGACGGATTAAGAATATGAACTAGATGCCCCCACGATACTGTCCCACCTACCATGTCATTGGAATTTGTGCCAAGAGCTCCACCAACTTCCTCCCCAGGTCTTGTGCGCCCATAATCGTACAGTAGCCCACGGCCCGGTTCTGCCACGTGCTTCCCACTTCGTGTGATGAAACCGTACTAGGGGAAGGATGCATAAATATTATTAGCATTACTGCTTCGGAGTGGGAGCAACTGACCTTTGAATACATTGTCGCATTCTCTTTAAGGAATATCTCTTACCCCTGGTTAGCTACGCAGATCAGTTTAGCTTGACATACCGCTTATACTGGCAGACAGTGCTTCGTAACTCCTTCTACTTGGGCCATAATGACAGAGGGATGCGGTTAACCTGGCACGGCATTGAGAACAACCTGTCTATATGGATAGCGAAGTGCTAATGAATAAGCTCGAGTTTAAGCTCGAGTTTGGGTACTCTAGTAGTTGTTGGAATTGGCCGTAAACGTACAGCCAATTCCAACAGTAGTAAATGCTGCTTCCCTTCGCAGTGCTAAGGATTTTTAGGCTGGGATGACGGGGATCTTAATTATTACTACTTAATTCCCAAGAAACTTTGTTGTAAGCATTTGAGCATTAAGCCTGAGGAGAGGGAAGCCCAGCCGAAGTGCCTAAAGCCCCTAAAAATTAGCGGCGCCCCCAACTGTCTATCAGATGCTAACTCTTATATGGAGTAGTCTCAGCTAATTTCCACGACTAAACTAGTAAGCATTAGTTAGGGTGGTATTGGTGAACACCAGAGGCTTGGCAGACTTCAATAACTTTTAGGACCTGACGTTTGGATATGATATCTCCTAATCTCGAATATACGCTCGACGCATATATCTGCATTTGTTCGTTTTCGGTCTAGAATCAATCACAAGCAAAACTTGCTAAATCCATCAGCTAACCTTGTACATCGAGCAGCTTGAAACCACCAGGCACTGCCCTCTGGAAGATTTGCTGAGGATCATATTTCTTGCTGACCTCCCGCATAAATGCGACGTTTTCAGCACCATATGCTGAGAAGACGTCTTGTTCCTTAGCGGCATATCCAATGTACTTGTGTGGATGATAGGCATCTAATTGCTTAGCTGCTGCTTCCGTGTCCTCCCATAGTTTCTTGCACAGTGCGAACATCTTTGCATCGTCTCCGTCGTCACCCCACGTGGCGGAGAGGAGCCAGATGACTAACGGCTCGGATGAGTCGGCCAGATTGAGCAGATTACCGCCTCGAGGAGCGGATTTGGAGAGCACGGCCAGGGGGAGCGGTTCTATTGAGAATGCGAAGGAGATGTTGCGGACGGTGGTGGTTTCTAGCACTGTGGCATTCCAGAGCTGGAAAGCGGCTTCAAATACTTCAACTGAGTTCTTGAAGGTCATTGTGTATGTGGCTTGCCTGACACAATAGGTTAGCCAGAACCATATGAATCCTGACCCTTATATAGTACGAGCAGTGATCATACCCTAACAAGTCAGGCAATGGAGAGGTCACTTACCTAAAACCATCTGGCGATGCAGCAGCCAGCTCATTCGTTACATCGGACAAATTCGTCTGTCGCAGCGTGCCAAAAAGTGAAGGAATTTCAGTAAATGGCTGCAACTTCGGCGACAGCTCTGGGGTGGCCTTTGCATATACCAGATTATTCAAAGCAACTGCTTGAGCGGCGTTCGCTCCAAAGCTCATCGTGCTAGAAGCATACTCGTCGTATTCCGGATCTGCCGTAAAATCATACAGCGCCTGTAATTGCTGGGTATACGTCTCAAGGGCGTAGTATTGCGTTCCTCCCCAAATTTGTCCCAGAGGTAGCGTTTCCATGTCGATACGGGTGACGACTCCAAAGTTGTTGGAACCACCCCGTAGAGCGAGAAGAAGATCATCGTTCTCGTTCTCATTGGCATTGACAATTTCGCCAGATGCCAGAACAACTTCAGCGTTAACGACATTGTCGCAGGTGAAACCGACTAAGGGGTTAAAATATGAAAGACCGCCTGTGAGAAGAAAATCGTGTTTGTCAGTATCTCTGGGCAAGAAACGATGGTGCCTCTAGCAACTCGATAAAAAATACCTCCGAGCGTCAGTCCTCCAGCACCAACTCCTGCATGTCGACCGCCTGGAACAGTCAAGTTCATCGGATCCAATATGCCATACACGTCACCCCATGTTGCACCTGGTCCGATACTTGCTATCTTGTGGTCATAGCTGACGGAGACAGTGTTCAGGGCGCTCAAGTCAAGTACGACACCTCCATTGATATTCGAAAAGCCGCTCTTGCCATGTCCACCAGAACGCACAGCAAAAGGACAGGACTGGTTCTTTCCGTTGTTCAGTGCGGTCAGAGTTCGCACAGCTGTCGCAACGTCATTTGATGTTGAAGCAACAATTACACAGGCAGGCCTCAGCTCGGTTTCCTGCTCGGCCCAGTACGAGGAGATGGAGCTGCTGTACGCCGCACTCGCGCTGATAAAGGTGCGGTCTGGGAGCTTGTCTGTGAGGACTGAGCACTATAACGGCGCGGTTAAACCGGATTCGCCATGCGAGGGAGGGAGTTTCTATTCGTGAAGCAACAGAAACCATGGGGAATCTTCGTAGATACGTACACAGTTGGCCGAACTGACTGGAGCTGAGATGCTGAGATGCGGCTGGAGCAACAGCAGCGCAAACAATGCGTGGGGCGCAGTAAGCACGTTTCTGCTCAACCCCATGGTATGAAAATGCTGGTCGCTGTGCAGTGGGATGGGCGACGCTCTCTCAATGCCTCCTAATAACCTGTATATAGGTGTTCAGGGGCAGGCAAGGAATATCTGACAGCTAGTTGGTGACCACATTCTGCTTGTAAAGCGAGGTAACTAAGTCTCTATCACAGTTTGTAAGTTTAGCCTCAGACGAATGAGCAATCTCTGTGGGTCGATAAATGGTACGCCTGATCACGGTACCGCGCGCAGCGTGATATCGGACAGCAATTTGATAAAGTTCAGTAACAGTTCATCATGATGTATGACCAATGCAGGTCCCTGCGTGCTAAATTACATGGTTTTGTTGCGAGGCATGATACTACAGTAGTGGTGCGCTTTGGGTGGATGAAATACTCGAGTACAATCCAAGCCTTCCCCACTCGCCAAATTTAGTTATAGTTTACTAACGTAGTACTACGTAATAGGGCCGGATGGCCAAGCATTGGTGGCCTACGGAGTATTACCCCACCTGATTAGCCCCTAATCAGCACCCTTGACAGGGTGACCAGCGCGAGGAGAAAAGCCATTTGTTCCTAAATTACGCACATAGCTGCAACTGACTCAGTTGCGCTGTCTCACAGAAAAGAGCATAAGACAAAAGATGATCAGCCAATCAGGACGAACTTCCCGTATTCAGTCTCTTGGTGGTGGGTACCACAAGACATAGGTTGCATAAGTAAGCGCAAGTGGAACAAACAGTGCACACAGCTGCCTACCTTTTTCCCAGGTTTCTCCGCTTAAGCTTCAGTTCAAGGCTCGAATTCTTCTTGACGCTAATGAGTCCTAGCACTGGCTTACTCTCCTCCGCCTCAGGAAATTTCTGATCAGCTGGATCGAGACTGAGGTCGAAACGATGTAGCACCATTGCGACGAAAACCATGGCTGCCTGCCCGGAGAAATGCCGCCCGGGACACTGGGACGAGCCTCCACCAAAGGCCATGTTGTATCGGCGCAACTTGGGGTCCCTCACAAATCGCTCGGCGTCGAATTCGCTTGTCTTCTCCCCAAATACCGCTTCGTTCAAGTGCATTTGCCGGTAGGGCATCATGATACGGCGGTTCTTGCGCAAAAGCTTACCTCCAATCATTATGTCTTCTGCCACGAACCGTACCGAGGAGGAGAACGCGGTTATGCGTAGCGTCTCGTCCCATACGCCGCGGAGGAGAGGACTGTTGTTCCAGATATGATCAAGATCGGTCGTTTCTCCCTTGAATGCCGGTGCAGTTTCTGCGCGGACGCGTTCCAAGAGCTCCTTGTCATAGAGCAGATATGTGAGCATCCAGAAAGCTCCCCTCGCCGTATTTGTGTTCGCCCTATAAGCATCAGTATAAGTAATTCGAGGCTATCGGATCTTATTCTCAGATGGGGCTTACCCCCAATATATCGTCATCATCATTATGGCAATGTCTCGGTTGCCGACATTCACATTCCTCATCTCCTTCTCCAGTGCTGGCGTGTACCACACTGTGTCCCGTCGATCTTCCTGGGGCGCTTCGAAATACTTCTCAATAGCGTCGACAACTTGATCCATCGGTGCGAACATTTTCTTACCTAGAAAGCGCGGATACCGAAACAATGCCTGCCAAGAGTGTTCATCGAACTCAAGGAAGACCTTCGCGAAATCTGGCTTGATCTTGCGAAGAAGGTCGCCAAAGTAAAGGTCTAGAATAGAATCCGCAACCATGTCATACAACCATCCTAAGAGCGAGACTTTGACAGAATCCTCGCTCACAAACATCACGTGTCGATCTCTCTCTGCGAGCCCATCTGCCGTGAGAGCCTTGTCGAAATAGTTGATGAACAAGGCACCAACCTCGTCGAGTAGATTGCCGCTACCCGGAAAGAGCTGGTGGATATGGAAATCGCGTGAAAGACGAGCAAGCGACTTGCCATCTGGGTTTGGATGGATTGTCTTGTGGGGATCAGTCCTTTCGTACATGCTCTGGATGGACGATTTGGAGCATCCAAAGTAATCCAGGATCTCTTGCGCGAAGATATCGAAAGATAGTGTGGTCGTATTGCGGTAGACCTCGGAGACATCTTCTGGCTTAGTGACAACATAGAACTGGAGATTGGTCAAAGTGATTGTAAATGGTTCGCGCGTGTTACCGAAGTAGAGTCTGGAAGATATTCGTCGGTAGTGTTCTTAATGGAGTTGGCCCAACGCCATACTCACCTGCCACTCGTAAATAGACCCTGCGAGTTATCAATGAAGCTTTTGAGATGTCCAACGCCTGATGATCATAAAGCTATTATTCTTGCTCAGGCGTATAAGTGTTGGTTGAGTGACCTCACCAGGAATCCAGTACGGATATTCTTTAGGCTCATTCGGCCGGAAGACCGGCACGATGGTGAATCTCACCAACCGCCATGCTAGAAGCACAACAACGGCAGAAGCGAAGATTGCAGAATAAGGATGTTGCCCGACGTTGGTTTTCAGTGAGTTTATGGCTGCCTGATCGAGTATCTTCTGAAAAGACATGTCGGAAGCGTCACACGAATTGAATACGAATGCATCTAATCAAGGAAATACACAATCTCTAGGTGCGCAAGCAACAAACATGGAGAGGGTGGTGATCGTACGCGCCGTTCCGAATAGGGCGACGGATTGACTTCAGAACATTGTGATATAAATGGCTCAGTAAACCTTCTATGCTGGCAACCTGGCTAATTTTCGTACTACCTTCCATCGTCTCTGAATGCTGCCTTGGGAGATATCTGGTACGTACTAACTTTTGCGTTACACGGCATGGTGTGGCGTCGGTCGTACAACCTCCTCGTTACGCAATATAATGCACTAGAGTGATAGAGTAAACTGTGAGTGACTATCTTCGTTCTATCCTAGCTCAACGACAAAGCAGAGCATGGAAGTTGGGGGCGCAAGGGCGCAGATCTCGTGGACGAACATGGGAGATCAGCTCACAGCTAGGAAGGCAGCTTCTGAAAGTGCTTACCTGCAGGAAGGGAAAATGGACAAATCGGATAGCGTAAGTAACACATTTCCTGCACCAGTAGCAACCCTCTTGTGTCGGTGACTTGCAGGCAGACCGTTGACTGGTCTGGACAAATGAGACAGGCGCTCTTCATGCAGAAGACCGCGAAAAAAACGGCTTTGGAGCCTATTGTGCCTTGTGCCTAAATATGCATTTGGGCGGGTTAAGGTTATTTGCTGAAATATGGTCGCTTTGGGAAGCCGATCAACTAAAATGCGGCATGTTCGGCCAGTAGGTACGCTGTGTTCCCTTGTTCCCTACAACCGGGCTAACTTACTCAAATAGTGTAAGGTCTGCAGTGAAGCACCTGTAGTAGTTCGCCTAACCCTGCAGTGTTGTTTTGTATTTGCTCCTCGGATCATACTACGTACTTGCTATATCCAGGTGGATAGTATTTCAGTTGCCTCCGCTAATACCACATAAGAGTACACATGACCTTGCACCCATGTCAGTGAAATGCTCAGGCCCCCCTCGGCACCATTCGTACCATCACCTTCTCTCTTGGACGTGCCAGCACAATCGCCATGCTGGTCTCGTCCCGACCAGGATCCTCCCACCCTCCGCTCTTTGTAATTGGCTCAACATCAAACCTTTGCACAAGCGATGCTACAATCAAGACAATGATCCTGGAAGCAAATGTACGGCCGGGGCAGAGATTTACTCCACCCCCGAAACCGCGGAAAGCGGTTGGGTGCACCTTGGCCCCATGACGCTTGTCGAAGCGGTAGGCATCAAACTCGGTAACGTTGGCACCCCACGCCTCAGTGTCAAAGTGTGCGCCGTGGTTCGGGATCAAAACATAGTTGTCACTTTTCAGTAGGAATTTCCCATCGAGCATGTGGTCCTCCATGACCATGCGGACCGCGGCGCCTGCAGTGTGATATCTTAGACTCTCCATCAAAATGGAGGATAAGGTTGGTAGCCGGTCAGCTGCAGTCAGATCCACTGCTTCGCCCAGAATAGCGTCACCCTTCTGGGATCCTAGGGCCGCTTTAGCTTCTTCTCTCACGACTTCTAGGAGCTGTGCATCGGCCAGGACATGGAAAAGAGTCCAGAACGCCGTTGGGAGGAGGTTGAGTAGAATTCCAAAGCCATTAACGGACTCAAAGCGTGCAACATCGGCTTCGGGAATGCCGTAATCTCTCAAGACCTTAGCCCTTACTTGGACGAGCTTGGAGGCCTTCTCGTCACTCTTTTGGGCAAAGAATTGGTGAAAGGCTGAGACAATTCTCTCGCGAGCTTTGTATGCTTTTCGCACGAAAATCCAGGGAGGAAGTCCTGTCAAGAAAGTAACAGTGTGATCAGAAAACTCACTTCTCCCGTCAGCATATGCATGCCTAAATATTAATGACTAGCTGGTACTCACACAAGACCTCTCTCGACCATAAGGTCTTCGTAAGGATTGTTTGGCCCATAAACTGCCCTGGACACTGCCATTGAGAAGACATGCTGTGTCCATTCCCACAAGTCGACCACGTTTTCCGTTCCGCTTGTTTCGAGAAGACGGAGTTCTTTCTCCGCTCGCTGTATTGCCTGGGCGGTCAAGGTTTCGAGATGCTCGCCGGCCATGGCCTGATGCGTCGCCTTCATGCCATCGATGACTAGACTGTTCGAGCCCTTGTCGCCTCGAGCATTGTCAAGGAGGATATCATTTGCCTTGTCGCTGATGCCACCGAGGTTTCTAGTAAGCGATGCCTCGATGAACCAGAACGACAGTACTCTTGGCAATTTCTGTATCGCTCCGATTACTTCGGGTGAATTGACAACGTAAAGGCGGCCCCCGGGCATTGCAAGACTGTATATCTTCTTTCGGTACTGGGCGCTGAACCGTCGACATGTCAGCCGGAGTCCTTCCTGGCATTGATTTGGAAACAAAGGAACACACACGTCAGCTCCGCATAGTAGGACACCCCACGTCGAATAATAAAGTAGAGATGACCAAAGTATGGAACCTTTGAAGGAATGAAGGGAGGCTCGGAGCTATGTTTCTGTATTCCAAGAACCTTCTCAATAAGGCGAGCAAGTCCAAGGAGAACAACAACGCCCACAACGAAGGGCCCAATGGTTTTGATATCGGCCATTGTCGTTGCTGGCGACATCACGAAGTGCAAAGAGTGCAAAGTGTTCTCAACCTTCAGATATCGAGCTCAATCTGCTCAACGATAGGGCTTTGCAAAGTTGTTTTTTTCAGAAAGATTATCCTCGAAGCTGGACGGCTCATATGACGACGGCGAAGCAGAAAGATGGGTCGATGTGCCCAGACCAAGGCAGGTACTATGACCTGTGTTGTGCACATTGTCAATTTCGGGCCAAAATGCCAGCAACAGACACTCTGCGGCATAGCCTTCAATGGATGCAAACCCTTGTCAATGAGTCCTGCCAATATTTGGCTATTTTTATGTAACGACTCAGTGTGTATATGCTGAACTTGAATTCTAGGCGCCACGTACATTGATCGATACGCGGTACTCACATGCCGCACTTGTGTCGAGGATGTGTGCCCAGGCACTAATGAAAGGTTATGATCCTGCTTTCATGTCACTCGATCAAAGCTAACTTACCATGTGAAAACGAAGAAAGCTATTTAAGAAACCAACATGCAGCCGCTAGTCATGCATAACATTACTTCCATACGTAAACATCTCGACTACAATTCCAGCCACGGAAATCATTACCAGTACGTAGTAACTGTAGTTGCCAGGTGTGATGTGCATGTGGGACGAACCAGGGCTGCAAGGCACACGAGACGGGACGGCGATCGTTTCAGGCAACCCGGATAGGCTAACTTCTATAAGTAATAGTACGATCACAAGATCCTCCGCGGGCTGGGCCCGCTTATCTGAGTGGGTCTCCTTACTAACTGACGTAGTCTGTACTATCGTAGTAGCACGCAGTAAGATTGGCGAGTTTGTGTTGCTTCTAGAATAGTCTACTAGTAACACAGCATTGTGAGTACTACGGTACCAGGCCTAATTTTGGTCCCCCCTTGGTCAAAATATCTTACAACCGTGTTTTTTACACACAACCCTGCCAGCACCCCTGTTACTATTTTGCACGAGTTTTGCTCATCCTGCAAAATCTGCTTATTCTACTCTGTACGCATTCTACCAATTCTACAAAGATACTAATGAGCCTGATGATAGGATGAGCTACAAGCGGCTAATCAATGCTTTATAGGATGCTGTGTCTTTTGACTACCCTGCTTCAGTGGATGCAGACGAGATATCAAGCAGTATAATGCCAATGGAATGTAGAAACTTTGATTTCACGGACTAATCTCATTTGGGCTATTTCGTGGGCGTCTATACTTAATTCTACATAGTATGTTTTGTACTGATACTAACGTTTTCAGCAGGGGGGGTTACAAAATTAGGCCTGGTACCGTAGTAAGCCTACGGCAGCTCCCGACGCCTGTTTATCAACTCTCTTACTGAGCGTTACACTTAATACTAACCCGCTAGAGCTTGGCATAAAACATCATGTACCAACTTTCTGAGTGTAGTAGCCAACAAGACTACAACACGGCTAAAGACGATGAAGACTCATCCCAGTGGATTGCGAAGTTATTTCTAATTATGGCTAGGCTTAGCTGGCTAATCCGAACCGACAAGCCCCTCGTTGTCGCTGCTCGGTAATGGGCCCCAATCGGCATACAGCCATCTCGATGCCTTGGAAGGCCTTGACGGAATTCATTGGCCTCAGAGCTATGTTCTCATCCGCCCATAGTTTGTCTATTCGTCTGCTAATGTTCGCTGCGCCCATGTACTTGTTTACCAATCACGCTTGGCGCCCTGGTACCAGAAAAGTCCATGGGCTTCAATTCTTGCCAGAGTGAAAATGTACGCAGGTTCCAATTTTGTGCTTTGTATGTCCCTCACTATGATCCGGCCACAGAGATTTCTGGAGAGCATACACACGCAGATTGTCATCTCCGCGTTTGTAGGGTTTGTAAGTGGAGTATACAGAGTGATTCGAAAGCAGGTCAACACCTTTGTATACCTCTTCGGTGGTGCAGACGTTATCAATGATGCATACATCAAGGTCCGAATGAATTCATTGCTAACAAATTCTGAGTATCTACTGGCTAACTATTTACCAGGCTGAAGGGAAACCATTCGAAATCCTCACACCAGGTAGAAGACATCAAATGGTGTCATCCCCAATGCATCTGGAAGAGATCAATCGAGCGCCGGTTGACGTCTTGTCTTTACATGCGGTCGCAAAAGATGTAAGTTGCAGCATCGGTGCCCCATGATTTCAGTGGTCTAGCACTAAACTTCCGGTTCCACCGAATAGTTTCTCCAACCCAAGTACACGATGCATGGCTTCGAGTGGAACGATGTCAGGGGCGTAGAAGGCACGGGTTTTGTACGAGCTCTACGCACAATCTTGACATCTCATCTGCCTAAACTCCTCCCAAGTCTCCAAGAAAGGATTGCGAATCACATACACAGAGAACTCATGAATCATGAGAGCAGTTCCGGTATGCCATCGTCTCTACTCTGGCTTACCGACAGTGCTGATGAATATGATCAGGCAGCTACGAGTTGTCCATTTACGATATGTCGAAGAGACTGGTCGCCAAGACAAACAGTTTCGTCTTCTTCGGTCACGAGTTGAGTAAATGTCCCTAGGCTCCATGATGAAAGGGAGTCTCTAATGCGCAACAGCGGAAGATTCTGACTTCTTCGAGGCGGCGTACAGCTTTCCTCATGAGTCAGCCCTTGCAGCTGAAGCCTTCAGATTGCTCCCTAATCCGCTCGCACGGTACGTATTGTGGGAATTTTATGTTTCTTTGAAAAGCCAACTGACAAGATTCGAAAGCTGTTTCGCTCGCTACTTGACCAGGAACCACTGGGCAGCACGTTCATTCCATGATCGTCTACATCGAGAAATCGAACGCCGACTCTCGCTTCGGAGTATAGGCAACGGACAGTCCAGTGTGAGCAGTTCGTGAATTCAAGTACATCGCAAACCTAGACTAAGTTGATACACAGAATGACGGTCTACAATGGCTCATCGAAACCAGTCCCAAGAAAAATCCATGGAGCATTCAGCGTTTAGTTGGTGAGGTCATGGGGATCTGGTACGGATCAGTACATACGCTATCTATCGTAAGTCCTCCTTTAGATCTTGCGTTATCTTGCACGAAATAACTCACATATCTTCTGAAGGCTGTTACGTTTGCTCTCCTCGACCTCTACTCACACAAGGAGTACATAGAACCACTTCGCAAGGAGTTGGATAACACCAAGCTTGACGCATTGAAAGGCACTCCAGGCGAAATGCCACTGCTCGATAGTTTCCTCAAGGAATCTGCTCGACTCAGTGCCTTTGAGAGCAGTAAGTTCACTGTCACACCCATAGTCAAGCGAGGCTTTAGCTGAGAACTGTTTTAGCTGGTGTGCGGAGGCAAGCACTGAAAGAATTCACATTCTCAGATGGCCTGCATCTCCGTCGGGGCGATTGGGTCTGCGTACCTCATCGTTCGCTAATGCGTGACGAGAACAACTTTCCAGACGCATTAAGCTTTCACGGGTTCCGATTCGTTGGGACGCAGCACAACAAGGACAGCAGTAACGAGCAGGACCACAGCTCCGCAGGGATCCCGGCCAAGGGCTCCTTCTTGACAGATTCGTCCGATTCGCTCATCTGGGGGCTGGGCCGAATAGTATGGTCAGTGCATGTTCCCTCATCTCTCGTACAGTGGTGCCTTTCTTATAGAGAGGAGGGGCTGATGGACTGCAGTCCTGGACGATTCTACGCAACGGCAGTGCTGAAGCTGGCAGTTGCCACCCTGCTGCTCAAATACGACTGCGAGCTCTCACCAATAAGAGGCGAGAGATCGTTTCAATGGCGGTCATCGGTGATACCAAAACGAAGCATAAAGCTGCATGTGCGGCGGAGAGACAGCAGCACCAGTGTAAGTGCCAAGGGGTGATACAGCGTGACATCGTGTGGGGACTTCTTTTGACGTCTTGGTGAAGACGCTGGATCCGGTGTGTTAGATCATCTGGGTGGTCCTCTTTCATTTTTACGTGGGGAGGCCAATTTCGCCATTGTATCGTTGTATCGCTCATAGATTCTAAAGACCATGGCTTCATGGCGTTAACACGGCGCCCATACTAGTACATTGTGGGTAAATAGAACACATTTCTTCTCTCGAGATGGCTACAGAGCTATGTTTTGCCCCTTCCCTCCCCTTTTACTTCTCGTGGGCCATAGCCCATTCCATGCTCCGCTTGATAGCAATGTGCTGATCTAATACCGGAGCGTAGCCCAACCGCTGCCGCGCTTTCTCAATAGACCAGTGACATCCCTTATTCAGGTGGTCAATACTCTGACGCCGCATCTGTGGGGTCAAGCGACCCAGGGTGAAACTCCAGTAAGCCCACTCTCCTACTGACGCCATAGCCTGCACGACAGCAAACGGCATCTTTTTGATCTCATTAGGCGCAACGGGGTGGCCTGCTGCGGCATAGGCTTCACGTGCGAAATCGAAGAAGTGTCTCGGTTGGCCGTCGGTGATAAAGAAGGCCTCGCCATGGACCTTGGGACTTTCTCTGTCAGTCTGGGCAGTATCGGTGCGCAGCAGCGCTTTGGCGGCAAGTACGTGGGCCTCACTCGCACTCTTTACATAGACGAACTCAAACAGCTTCTGGTCGTCACCCAGCTGCATCTTGTGTTCGCCTTTCCGGACGCTTGACAATAGCTGTGGGATAAAATTGGTGTCACCTTCTCCGTAGATGGCTGGTAGCCGGAGCGTTGCGGTGCGCAAATTTGTACTATCAGCGGCCAGCACAGCGGCATCAGCAAGGGCCTTTGACCGGCCATATGGGTTGTTGAAGTGGGTTGCGGTGTACAGCTGTGCGTCAGCCTCTCGCAACTTCCGATCTGGCAGCGACGGTGACGCCACCGCAGAATCACTGGAGGTGTAGACGAAAGCGCGTGTCTCCGGGCAATTGGCCGCGCATCGGAGAAGAGCTCTCGTACCTTCCACGATGGTGCGGTGGAGCACTGCCTTGTTGTCTGTTGACAATGGCGACACGGTATGAATGACAACGCGCGGCTTTATCTCCTGAAAGAGAGCGCGTAGCTTTCCTTCGTCGGTAATGTCAACTGCCCGGTACTTTGCTCGGGCATCACGCTGACGTGGGTTACGGCTGACGGAGAACACCACGACATCCGGCTCAGCCAGCAAGCGCTGAACGATATGTGAGCCTAAGAAGCCACTACCACCCGTCACCAACACGTGACCTAGTTGGACCGTTTTCTTGTCCATGGTTGTTGATTCTGGTGTTGGTTACAAACGTGGAAGCTGAGTGCGGTGAGTTAGATATGACGGGTGATTGCAGTGGAGAGGTCAGGCGTAGACCCGTGGTAGATAAGTGGAAACTGCTGTGCCTCCTTGGAGACCGTAGAGAGAATATGCAGGTGGAAGAAAGAATGGTTTCGCTACCATATGAATGGACGTTCGTACGTGCCACTTGCTCAAGTCATATATGTTGATCACGCTTTTTAAGGCTTACATCGTACGAACCCAGCTTCCTTTGAAACGAGGAATGAGAATCAACTCGAGACATTTCAATTGAATGGCCACGGAGGCATGCATCAGAAGTTGTGTCGCCTTGGCATAGTAATATCAGCCGGCTGCGGTCACTTCAATCTTTACTTGGAAGTTCTGGGGGGTTCTTTACCAAGACCTACTAGGGGCTGCTGCCTAGAGTGTGAGGGGTTTCAAGAGCTCGACCACTGCAGCTACAGCGGCCTTACTGGACCTCATGATCGAATGAGTATGGGATGTAAGTTCAAAGCCGTAGTGGCATTCCTAAAAGCTAACGGTAAGTGCTACTAACGCAAGGCACACACCAGGCTGAGGGCGTCTTTTTGGCAACATCCCACTTGCACGAAGTAATTCGGGACGGAACAGACGCAGTCAAGCGCACGGCAAAGATTCGCACCACGTAGTAAAACCTCTCAGAGGTACTGGGGTGTTTGGTACTGACCCCAGTCCAGGTAAGTTTGATGATCTACGCTACACTATCATGACAGAGAGAAATCACCAAAAATAGATGGCCGATCCCTGCCCTCAACCAACAGCATTCCGTGTTTCGTTGGCTGGGCACTCGACGGCAGGGCTACAATTCTTTGACCCGTGGTGGTAAAGTAGTTTTTCGTATCTGCATATGCAGATACGATGGTAATCCTTCACTTCAACACTAGTGCGACAAGGTATAGAGCACGGAATGCTAGCCTCAAGACTGGGTTGCCATGTCATGTACAGCCGTTGGCACCAGCAAGATTGTTAGTTATCCAACTGATACCCACTTTAGCGCATAGAAAATGGTTCCACAACATCGAAGCATCCACAGGCTTACACAAGAGGCTTTCTTTTGCCAAAACTAAGCTGGAAAGTAATATGACTCGTTGCCGGTAATGCAAACCTGCCAAGTTTCTCCAGAATCCCCTCTCCTGAACTAAGAACTATGGATGTCCGTGCTTATGCTAAGTTAAACTTAATCCAACAGTTGTAATACACAGATCACGTTGTGCACTGTTCTGCCATATCCCATCATGTTGCACCATAATCAACCTCAAGCTCATAAAATCGGACGGCTATCTTTAGATTTGTCTAACTTCATATGATGTCCTGACCTGAATCTTGCTCCCGAGTGCACCGGGTGCAGACTCGTTTCCATGCAAAGTCCGCTGTGACTCGTGGTCGTAGCCAGGGTAATCTTTGAGTCGAAACGAGCCGTCCGAACTGCCGCTCTTGGACGGTTTGCTCTTGTAGCTTTTATTGGTCGAGAAGGTCGATGTAAATGTCGATGAGATTTTAGCAAAGAAGGCAGTTGGCACGACGAAGGATTTGAACCAGGAGCTCGCTCCGGGCATAGCTCCCACAATGATTGCAATAAAATTTTCAGTCAAGCTAAGTGTATTAGTCTTAGTCCCACACTGAATGTCTCAAGAACAAGGTGACCTACTTGCATATCCAAAGCTGTGCAGTGAGCCAAAGAGTATCAGTGGTGTTGACGAGAAGAATACGGTATACAAGTGTGAGTGTTGCGCAAACACAAGCACTGTCAAACAATGTTAGCAGTGACCACTCAAATGATGAAAGGGTATTATACGTACAAGAATGCTGTGAAGAATATGAGAAGGATACCAAACCGTTTGCGGCCGGTCATATTCAGCTTCCGTATAACTGGGATAGGGAGCGCAAGAATATAGAGGTCTAGCAATACAGACATGCATGCTGACACCACAAGCCACTTCAATGCACTCTTGTTTGCGCAGCGAAGACCAACATTCATGTCCCATGGTTCGCCAGGGTGTGCAGCGCAAAAGTAGGCAGAAATGAACATGTTGGGCAGATATGTCATAAATGTCCAGCACACTCCAGCGTAGATGGCATATCGCGCCGCCGGTTGGATTTGGAAAAGACGGAGATAAAGAAAGAGAATAGCGAGTTTAGCCAAGATAATGGCGGGCCAGGCGATGATAGACTGGGCAAACATTCTCTGTGCGGTGGTTTGTATCAGCTTACTCCTTTGTTGGCACTGTAGATCAGCGTTCACCTTGAAAAGGCTTTCCTTGAGCATCATTGCCAGTGGTACGTCCCACATGTGACGCGCATAATCGCCAACTGAGATTCCTTAGTCTGGATATAGTTCATCGAAGTGGTATATACTTACGTGTGATGACAATAATTTCTTGGGCAATAGAGATAACAAGTGCCCCGACAGAGCAGTCTGCATTGAGATGTCGGTTAGAATAGCTGAGCAGCCAGAATCTTGCCACATGCCCACAACTTACAGTCCGCCAAACCAATACCGCCATTTTCACTGTCGCGTGTTTTCCAACTCGAGATTAGGCGGCATACAACAGCAAAGCAAGCTATGGGAGCCAGAACACAAAAGATTGCAAGTCCAGTGCTACTGAGTTCCGGCCCAGAAAGAAGGCCCCCCCATCCAGCTGGGGGTACACCGGCGGGGATGAGATTCAGGTCTTGACCTGCGAGGTCGGCAGCAGACATGGCCATATTGGCTGTATCACAGCAAAGCAAAGGAAGAGAAAGAGGTGGTGAGAGGAACGAATCGACTACAAGCCGGTGACAGAGGCTGTGCACCTGGCAGCTATTTGTAAGTATTGCACCCGTTGCACGAGAACACATGAGAAGGGCACAGATGAGTACTGTGGCCGAACGATTGGTTGGTTCGATGGTGCAATGATTTGCACCACATCCCTGGCAAGCATGCAGTTCTACCTTGTCGGCCCAGGTTGTGCATGGACTGCTTTAGCCTGTGTTGATCTTTCTCCATAAAGTAAAAGAAGAAACATAAGAACTATTCTCTGCAGGATATTAGCGGATGGCCCCCACAGCGCTTAGCGGGTCTGCATTGGCGTAGTACTACTTAACTCGCACGTTACTTAGTTAAAATTATAATTTCGCCCGGTTGAACATCCCGACCTCCTCAATCAGGCACCCCGAGCTCGGCTACCACTAACTCTCCTTGTATTCGTTCGCCTACCAGCTCCAGTTCTCAGGCGATTCCAGATACACACGAAATGTCATGAATTAGCTCCAATCCAATAGGATGACAGGGATTGATAGCTTTGAAATCCATTTTCTTTCAGGTGACGTAGGAACCCATGCTAACAAGCTCGATGATCAAGCTATGAGAATATCGATACGACCGCAGGGGAGCTGGTGCCGTGGCTGCTTACCCTCCAACGCAGCCGCTCATTCTGGATGTTAGCCTTTCCAGCGGCTGTGTTATGAATTAAATCCCGCTGAATGAAAAAGTCCCAGTCTAAAGACAAGACTTGAATCTGATATGTAAAAATAACACTAATCTTGATCCATATGGCAGCTCCACAATGCATTTGATCATGTCGCGGTTAATGCTGCATATTCAGCGGTGCATTCTCTGATTGTTTCTTGTTTCACGCCTTCTATCATCCATCTTACCACCGTCTTTCTAATACTGCCTGGTCTGTTTCACCACCCAGCCCAATCATGTTCTTAGAATACGGCCACGCGGCGCTCAGTCCTATCTCCTTCCCACTGCTTGTCATTACGCTATGCTGGGCCTCGTGGTGGTTGTGGAAATTCACTATTCGGCCCAAACTGTGGCCTCAGGATCCAAGACCGCTGCCTTACTGGTTGCCATGGGTGGGATCTGCCATTGCGTTCTTCCGAGACTCATATTCTGTCATCAATTCAGGCATGTATGTTGATTATTCCACTCATCCTTCGCTGAACATTTGTGCCATGACTCTGACATTCAGAGACCGGAGCACTTAGTCCGTGAACCGTTCACTCTGACACTGGGCGGCGAAGAGATTTACGTCATCACAGAACCCAAAGATGTCGCCGAAGTGTACAAGAACAACAATTCGCTATCGTTCGATGTCTTCATCTCAGATCTTATGCTCTCGTGTGGAGCCACCGCTGAGACCGTGGACAAGATGAATCGAGCACCTCCACCATATCCCAGCGGCAGCAGCACCTCCGGCCTGAATCCTGGCAACAAGTCACTCATTAGGCTTGCTATTGACTTTCACCATTTTCAACTTCTCCAAGGGCCAAAGTCTCATGCTGATGAGATCACAGACACGTTTCTTCGTCACATTGACAAGTTCCTGCAATGGGACATTTTGTCAGAAGATGGCCTACTTCCAGCCTCCAGGACAGCGGAATCAATGCAAGTTTCGTTGCTCAAATTATGTGGACGTGTGCTTATTGAAGCTGGAACGAGGACTTATTGGGGGAAACTCCTTTGGGAACTGGAACCCGACATGCTTTCATCCTTCTATGAGCTCGATCGCGGTATTTGGAAGATTCTGTTCCAATACCCCAAGGTATTTTCACAGGAAGTTTTGGCGGTAAGAGACAACATTACGGAGACTCTTGCTAGGTACTACAGGTTGCCCAAGGAGATACGCCAAGACGCTGCTTGGTTTACTAAATCAATGGAAACTGAGTCGAGGGAGGCCGGACTAGATGAAAATGAGATGGCTGCGGCCATCATGATCATCTACTTTGTGTATGTCCTCCGAATTTGATCCACCCGATTCTACTTCATCATAGCGGATCCCCTGAGCTCTGAAATTGTCCGATGATCCGCATAGATACTGACCACACCTTTCTAGTATAAACGGCAACACGTACAAATTATGCTTCTGGGCACTCTGCTACATACTGAGCGATCCATCCTTGTTCACATCCATCTGCACTGAGCTCAACCGCCAGAATCGCACCACACCACCCACTATCGCTCATCTAACCAATCACTGCCCCTTGCTCAATTCGACTCTATCGGAAGTACTTCGCTTGTACACCAGCTCAGCCAGCATGCGCTACATCGTTACCGACACGCCGATCGGCAAATACATGTTGCGCGCTGGCCGCAAAATCATGATCCCGTACCGCCAGCTCCACGAGAACACCGCCGTGTGGGGAAGCGATGCGCTTGTCTTTGACTCCAAGCGCTTCCTCGACAACAAGAGTTTGAAGTGGAGCACTAGCTACCGGCCATTTGGAGGGGGCGCCACGCTCTGCGCGGGTCGGTTCGTGGCGATGCAGGAGGTACTCAGCTTCATCGGCCTGGTGCTGCATCGGTATGATCTTGAGTTGGTGAAGGGGCCTGACGGAACGAGCCAGGAGTTCCCGCGCGTTGATAGTATGAAGCCTACTTTTGGGATGATGGGGCCGATTGAAGGGAACGACTATATGGTGAAGGTTATGAAGAGGTAGCGACCGTCAATTCTGAGCCAACCCATTTCTTTTACAAATGTGTATTCACCTCGGTATTCCTGTATCTCTTCGGCTAGGAACTTCTTCGGGTCATGTGAGGGCCATTTGGGCTGTGGTTCCGCCAAATTCAGCGCTCGTCCTGCCGGAACTGGGCTTCTGATGCTTACTCTGGCCCTAAGGAGGTCAGCCAGCAATTCTTAGGTACCGTCCTAGGGCGGCTTAGGGAGTGGCTCGTTACTCCTTCAGGCATCGAGTCCCCAGGTTGGGCCAAGTCTTGAAGGGCTTGACGGGCTTGACATGGTGACATCTCAAGTACTAGTCTACTGTAGTGTCCCGAATTTGCGTTGTAACCGTGCCCGCCACGTTAGAATGGATTTGGCGCTACCGTACAGAACCACTTAGCAGGAAGAGGTCCTCTTAAAATAATGCTAGAGGAGCCCTAACCGTAAGAGAGTACAAGGACATGTAGCTGAGTCGTCTGTGATCTAATGAAATCTTACTATTTACAACGTGTTTTACCGAAAATATAGTCACAGTGTGACAGTATGGTCAAAATATGCTTCTCTTATCATATTAGTATGGTCGTTATTTGACAGAATAGCTGTCATTTCCACTAACGGCACTGAGCTCATATCTTTAGCTACCCCTTCTCCTGGTAAGCACTTGTCGAGACACCCTACTTGGCGAGACAATTTTTCGCATAGCACGTTAGGCAACTGTTACAGCACGTGAACACGCCAAGCACAGACAGGTACTACGGAGATGCCTGGCGCTCTGCGAAGGAACTATGACGGACTTGGACAGGCGTGGACCCTGAACTACACACAAGGTCACACCTGGACGACGTAATGATCAGAGGTGATCAGGATGATCAACTCTGAGCACGAATCTCCTAGCCTATATAAGCACGCTCACTTCCCAGATAGTTTCATAGTCTTCGTAGTCAACTCATGTTATCAGCTTATACCTAGCTTGAAGACATTCAGAAGTATCTTTGATTGCACCCCCTGTTCTACCTAATCAACCCACTTGGACCCAACCTGTAGTTGAGACTTGTCTTGACAAGTTGAGCCCTAACAGCAACGAATAGCTATAGCTCCACTAATATAAATAAATGGACTTAGATAAAAAGCATTTGATTTAGAATACATTCAATAACAATGACTTAGGGCTATTTAGCTTAATTGACAAGGCTGTAGATTACTATATGTGGAGTGCAATGGCTCGGAACTAGAACAAGTCAATAGTCCATAGATTGCTAAAACGTAAGCTGAGGAGTCTATCTACAGTGCGGCCAGCGCTCTACTCTATATACTCCTCCATCGTACACAAGGGGTGCTACTAGTTAACCTGCGCAGAGGATCCGACGGAGTATCTGCAGGGCCAGAAGCGGTAGCTTCCCTCTGGAGGAGATTGTACTTCCCTAAAGGGGTCGTATCAATCTCCTGTTCCATGGTACTC